ATGTGTGGACCACTCTTTGTAATCAAGAATTTTCACAGACCACCTCATAATACACATATTATGATATTACAAATTATATTATATATTACATATTATTAGGGCTGGGTATTGAGACAAATTTCACAATTCGATTCGATTTCGATTCACAAGCTTGCAATTCGATTCGATTTCGATTACGATTCGATTCGATTCAATATCGATTATTTTGGATATCAGTTACAATAAATGGCAGTTTTTCTCAAGGGAATCAAATCTCTGAACTAATGCTGTAAACTATGGGAGTCTAGTTGTAGCCTATAGACTTCATTAGCCTAATATGAAGGTAATAATGAACTGTTGTATAGCTATACAAACACTTAAATTACACTTTTATTTATTTTATTCAAGCCCAAACGTGTGTTTGCAGTGTGCCTGTTGTTTTGTTTATGGTCTAGATCCGCTCGCGCTTTGGTCGAAGAAGCAACAAAACGTCCTCGCGCGGCGCAAGTCATTGAAATGAATGGGTTTCAGAGCGCAGCGCGGGGACGTTTTGTGCCGCACACACTCGTTTGGGCTTGCGAGCCGGCCAAATAGTAACGTTACGTTTTGAGTGCATGACGAGTGCGAGACGCTGAAATGGATGCCCTAAGATTATGAATAGAAAGTTTACTTTTAAAAAGTTGCCAAATTGTCCCATTGACAAGATCAAGTGATCTGTGTGTGTGGTCGTTGTGAACTGAGCGATCATCATCGCAGCACGTCTGAAACACCACTTGATGATGGCCAAGCAAACACACACACACACACACACACACACACACACACACACACACAGATGATGTAAATTTTCCACCCCCTCGTCAATATCAGGACCTCGTCAGTATTTCTTTCACTCTTTTATTGATAGACAGTGTTACATGGTGTGAGAGATTATTGATATATGTTAGTGTGAAATTGAACACTATTCCAATGTTATTTTCAATAATAATAATAAAAAAAACATTTGCACTAAACAAGCCGATCCACTTTTCCATGTTGACGAGAGCGTTAAAATGAGAAAAAAATAATGTAACAAAAAGAAATCAAAAGACATTTAGAATAGATAGAAATGTGCGATTAATCGCGAGTTAACTATGACATTAATGCGATTAATCGCGATTAAATATTTGAATCGTTTGACAGCACTAATTTTAATATATCAAATTTAGCACACTTCAGTTCAGCAGTGTTTCACTTGGAGTGTTACGTTTGTTTTTAACCCAGTTTCGGCTACATTTAAAAAAATATCGGCTGAATAATCGGTTATCGGCATGCACGGTCAAACCTAAATATCTGTTTATCGGTAAAATCCACTATCGGTCGACCTTAACAGTAATGAAATTGTTGTCTGGTGTGCACAGACGCAGCCGCCACACAGCTGACACGCTCACGCCACGCAGCCAGTGTGTCTGTTTGATACACAGTCTCAATACAAAACCGGTTGAAAGCCACAGCTGTTTACTGCTGAAACTGTACAACTAGCATGTTGACATGAGGAGGAGAGAGATCCTAATATCCCATTACTACCCCTGATCTCAGTATGAAATGTTATTAAACAGAGCTGGATTACACAGTCGACGAGGGTAATCTCTAATCTAACCTCAGCGCTGCCCACATAATCCTGCATAATCTGCCCGGATTACAGACAATAAAAACTTAAATCTCTTTAAACACCACTTTAAACTTTGAGCACACTTCTCAGAGCTCGTTATGAATCGCATGCATTATTAATCAGAATATATTAGCTCTAATAAATTTAAATACTTAGATGCACACAGATTGTGCATTAATTTCCATGGCAACCCACAGCCTGACATTCGAACTCAATAAAATGATCTTTCCTCCCAAATGAGTTCCTTAATGAGGAGGAGGAGGATTTCATTTAATCCGGTTTATATATGAGCAAAGTCCGCATAAAGTTGCTCTTTTATGTCGTTAAAGCCATAAAAATATTATTTCTGGAGAGAGTTCTAGTCTCTCTATTATCAGATTACTTCCATTTGTGAAACGCTAAACTTGAAGCATATTTTGAGGAATCGTTCACATGCAGAGCACAGATGTGATGATGGATGCTGGGTTCGTTTCAAACATTTTAGTCGAATGCATTGATTTAGAAATGTGCTGGTGCTATTAAATCCAATGTAGTCAAATGCAACGCTGCTGTGTCTACAAACATGCATTATCATTTACTCGTGCGAGAGATGACTGGTTCTTTTACTAAGTCATATATCCGTAAAATCCTGGATTCAACAAGAGGCTGATGAGGAAAAGCTGCACCATGAACTCAATAAAGCGAGACCTTCACACTAGCCACAAACCGACACGAGGCAAACCATTAACCCACACATGCATCACAGCTATCGCAATCTAGCGCTGTGCCATGTATCGAACCAGACGTCGGATCCGATCAATGAGTGCTTGCTGGACAAGGTTCTCCGTTTACACACCTCTACGATTCCTCATTCGCTCATATATTATGGAGGGAAATCGCAGGGATGATTCGCTTCCTGTCAAATCTATTAAGACTAATAAAGACACATTACTCATGACAGCCCCGGGAGGATATTAACTAACACTTCTTACTCGCTTTCTAATCTCCTAAATAATAAAACCATGTTACATCATGTGGGAAAGTGGATTATAATCACTGCGCCTTCTAAACCGCTACACAGTTGCTCAAAAATAATCTGTCAATATGATGTTTCTCGACCCAGTACCAACAAATATTGGAAAATACGGCTATAAATTATTTCATGTTTGAGGAAAGTGTCAATGATAGGGTCAATACAACAAAACTGTCAAGAAATGGGTCATTTTTCACACCAAAATCAATGTAAGCCTTTCTCTCTCATACACACACACACACACATATGCGTATATTATATATATATATATATATACACACACAGCATGACATATTTTATATTATTAATAATTAATCATTATTATGCAATAATATTAATTATAATTACCATACAGAATATGGTATATAAATTTATATATATATGCTTTTCAGCGAGCAGCACGTACACCGAATATTATAATATATTTTAATTCAAACTGAGAGTTATTTAAATTATACAAATATATTTTAATTGTATATTCAATACTTATAATAATATATATATATATATATATATAATATATATATATATATATATATATATATATATGGTATAAATGGTACATTTTTGTGAATTTAATGCATTTAAAAAAATTAATTTATATATTAGACTTCTAAATAATATACTTTTCTCAATGCACATTATAGTTTCTTATCATTTTCTTCATATATTTTTTCTTTGAAGGGGTGAAACATGATCCAGCATTTCTTAAAGAGATTCAACCAATATCTTAAATGACTTACGGAGAGGAGTAAATAGCTTTGGGGAGTTTTTAAATGACTCGGTTTAAGATGAGAGATGAATCTGGTCTACGGAGAGAAATATGAGACATTTGTGTAACTTTAATAAAGTTCTGCTCCGTGCTGCACGCTGTAATTGCTAGATGAGGCATTCCTGCTCTGCATCCCAGCGGATCGTGTCTAGATCAACCCACGGACGTCTGGTTACCTGAGCAACGAACCTCTGCCGTCCCTCCATTCATCACCATACACTGCATGTGATTCTCACACACACACACACAGTTTACCCAGCAATCTTCACACACACACACTTGGAACTCTATGTTCTTCTGTGGAGATTTGCTGCTGGTTGAACAGAAAAGGTTAACACGACCCTCAAAATGCATTCTGGGAGCTTTATTTGACTCCAGCAGTTAAGTTAAAAGTTTTTAAAGATTTTAATGTTTTTAAAAGAAGTCTATTTTGCTCAACAAGGCTGCATTTGTTTGATCAAAAATACAGTAAAAACAGTAATACTGTGAAATATTATTACAACTCAGAATATAATTTATTCCTGTGATCAAAGCTGAATTTTAAGCATCATTACTCCAGTCTTCAGTGTCACATGATCCTTCAGAAATCACTCTAACAGAGTGCCGAAGTGATGACGTCACTTTGTAGGACAACTCGGAAGTTAGCGGCGCATGGGTTCCCTCAATCCAAAAGCTCTGCATTTTCCCCATAGACATTCGGAAAATCACAAAAAATAAGATCTGTGTTCAACAAAGAGTTGTGACCCGTGTAAGGTTTAGTCGATCAAGATAATCTTTACAAGTTAATCCAAAATTTATACATTTTGAAGCCTATATAAAGTTTTTAAAAAACACAATCAGACACAATAAAGTTTAAAAAACACAAGCAGGTTATAATAACTGTGTGTTCTGTAGAGGTCATAGATCAAAACGTGAAAATATTTAGAGGCTTTGTTCACCACAGACCTTATTTCAGGCGATTTAGCAAAACCCCATAGACTTAAAATGCTAAAACGCTAACTCACTTCCGCGTTTTGGCCTACAGAGTGACATCATAACGTCGGCCCCGGTGATCAAGAAACATTTATGATCATTATCAGTGTTGAAAACAGTTGTTCTGCTTCATATTTTTGTGGAAACTTTTTCTGGATATTTGTATGAATTGAAAGTTCAAAACAACAGCGTTTATTTGAAAGAGAATCTTTTGTAGCATTATGAACTTTACAGTCACTTTTGATCAATTTTAATGCATCCTCGCTGATTAAAAGAATTAATTTCTACTTATGAACGGTGGCGTGTTTATTTCAGTGCACTTTTATTGATCATGTGGCTTGTTAAAGAGAGCTGTGTCTGAAAAAAAAATTATTTTCACTTGAATGTTGGTGAATAAAATCTCAAACTTGCACAGAGGAGAAAGCCGAGCCGTATCTAGAGTCATCGGACCCTTTTCACCAGAGCCTGTGAGCAATTTGCTTCAGAAAACGTGATTTTTGCAGTTCTGTTTGGTGCACAGAAATCGCTTAGAGCAGCTTTAGGTGTAATTGCACGTGTACGTGTTTGCGCACGCGTCCGATTTGATGTTGAAATTCATCACTCTGTACCTGATTGTGTGTGCGTGTCCCATCTACAGAACAACAGCTGACTACTGCAGATCTGGAACCCAATCTCCATGTGCTCCCTGGGATCCTGTTCATTTCTCCATCCTGCCAGCACAGAACATGCTTTTCTCTCTATTGCCCTGGGAAGAAAGAAAAAAAAACAATTTGAGAATTTTTTTAGGTAGGAATTAATCTCCTGAACACAACCTGCAGAAGTGGTGCACTGCTGCCATTGTGTTCTGAATGAATGAGATACTGCAGCTTGATATACTGTTGAACACTGGCCATCTCATGGTTTGGTCCTCCATCCCTGAAGCCGAATTCATATCCAACACCAGAGAAAATCAAGTTTGACATGTTACTGGTCTTATTTTGAGCATTCACTCGCTGATGGATTTCACTGCCGTCTAGGAGAAACAACTGAACTGGAATCTTAAAGAGATTTATCTAAAAATGAATTTCCTCACAGCTAAGAATGTTTGCAATACGTTATGAAACAATGTTCTCTGAACGTCCAGTTTATATTTTAAAAACATTTTTACTTGTCATGTGAGGGTTCCATTTCGTCATTCTTCAAACATCATGGAATGTTACTTTTGAATGTTCTCTGAACATTCCGAAACCAGTAGTTACATTTGAAAAAAAAAAGAACATCCAACTGAAACGTTCCATGAACAATGTATGCCATCTACGTCACTCCTAACAGATTTACACGCCGCCATATTTACGACCGATCTCGCCCGGTGTGGCCGACCAAACTGAACTGCCCAGTTGAATGAAAGAGAGAGAGAGAGACCTGGAGAAAATATCAATTTTAGGCTCCGATCCTTCTTTGTTACCCCAAGTTTTCTTTCATCCATTATCATCTGCCCCAGACTTGGCTTCCACGCTATGTACATATATCTCTTGTGCATAACCCCTCCCCATAGGCTACATCGGGGGAACGCTCGAAGGCTTTCAAGAGTACCGATGCATATCAATATGCTGTGGCTGGAGGAGTAAAAGACGTAAAAGTGCGGCACTTGGCCACCAAGGATTTATATTTAATCATGGGAAATGTAATAGGTATTATAAAGAAAATTCAAATGTATGATTTTGGTGGTTGTTTGCTCTGAATAGTGTCGTGTTGTTAGCTAGTTAAGTGGCTAACAGCTGCTAGCTTGCCATCTGTTAGTCACGGCTCACGGCTAACGTTAGCTGTCATTAATCTGGATTAGGCCTGTCGCGATCAATTAATCGCACGATTAAAAAAAAATGAGCTAGATCATATTTCCGGCCGCGATAATTTCCATTTGCATGCTTATTTGTTTTCCTCGTCTCTCTCTCTCTCTCTCTACCAAAGAGACTGGATGACAACTCTGTTAAAGACATAACCGATTTATATTACGTGAATACTCTCCAAAACGGACATTTAAACATAAAGTTGTGTGTATTTGTCCATTCAGAATACAGCTGCACGCTTCTATAATAAAATACCGGTTCGGCTGTTTGGGCACAACACATTGCAGGCATTACTGAGACCATCGGTCGTAAAGATGGCGGCGCAAAGCTACAGTGACGTCATGTGACCCGAACGAATACGCTGTTTTCACGCAGAAATTGAAAGCGAGGCTCCGGTGAGAAGTAAACCGTTAATCGTAGGAGTGCGATGGCGTATTGTTGTGTTTAATGTAAAAATTAGTTATTCTAAAACTGGAAATTACTTATAAAAATGTGTTATTTCTTTCATACTTTAGACTATATACAGTGAAAATAATTTATACGTTATTTAGAACATAAAAAAGAAGCAGGAACGATCTATATCCTATATTGTATATTAACATCCAATAGTGTAAATCGCTTTCAAAATGGCGGCTGCATGAAATCAGAGTATAGACCATTTCACAAGATGTAAACAACACTGGTCCAGAAGCACTTCCTGTTTCAGTTTTTTAACACTACATAAAAGCTGGGATACAACCAACAGAACATTTAAAACTGAATCAAAAAGTTAAACAAACATAAAATGTTTTCGTTACATGTGAAATAAAGAAAACAGTTACAAACTGAAACAGGAAGTGCTTCTGGACCAGTGTTGTTTACATCTTGTGAAATGGTCTATAGAAGAATGCATAACTTTGAACAAAGATTAGGTTAAAGTTTGTCAGAAAGTTCAATAGCTGGGATATAGTACACGACCAGAATTAGATATCAATTTGTGCTTATTTAAAAATTTTACCCACAACTACCTGGACAGACGCACCTGTATTTCAAGAGCCTTTTGAAGGAAACTTTGAGTCTTTGCCCTTGGCGGTGATGGTCTGTTTGTCTACATATCCCACTGTTCTCCACAGAGATGAGACATCAGCTGAAAAGGTGACTGGCACTTTGTAAGCAGCTCTGGTCCATCTGGTGAAATTGTGCATTTAATCCAATTTCTGCGGAGGTCTGAATTCATGTGTGAAAGCTGAAATGAGATGCACCCATTACACATACATCGAGGGTCTGGCAACGCAAACGTGGACGGCATGCAAAACAAGGTCTTTTGACAAGGTGCAATTAATTTAGGAGATCATTTTTTTTCTATTCTATCAAAGAAAATTTTGATAAGACATTTTGTTTAGTTTTCCAAAGGGCCACTGAACGTCACTTATACAGGAAGTCACCAACAAATGAAGGATTGCCACTATTTACTCACCGTAATGTCATTTTAAGACCCATAATTACCCACACAAAACAAGACCACAATAACAAGAGAAAATTAATCAGAAGTAGGATGCAAATACTGTTAGAAGTAGAGACTTAAAGGGATAGTTCGCTTTGAAATTAATTTTTGGTGTGTTTTATCTTACCTCAAGGGCATCCAAGATGTAGGTGACTTTGTTTCCGGACAGTATTTTCAATTTTGATATTTTTAGGTCAAACCGTTGTTGTCTGTCAGTCGTATAATGGATGTCTATGGTCACCACCTCAAAGAGCAGCACAGAGAAGTCCAAATTAAACATGATTTAATGACTCATAAATGTAAGTACACATTGATGGCCTAAGACACGAAACGAGCGGTTTGTGTGAGAAAACCAACAGTATTTATATTGTTTTTACCTCTTGTAATCACAGCCACATCAGTGATCTGAGTCAGTTGCGGGGAAGAAAAAAAATTCAACGTTGTCTGTTGATATAGCGAAATCGTCGTCCATTGCGATTTCCTGTACATCTAAATACTTCACAGTGAAGGGCAACACTTCTGAAATCTCTGTGTAAACAATGAGTGACATACACGCGCGAGAGATCACTTCCGGGGCTTTCCGGCGCTTGCGTAGACCGAAGCGCCCGCGGCCTCAGAGTACTTGGACGTGACTGTGATTACAAGAGGTAAAAACGATATAAATACTGTTCGTTTCGTGTCTTAGGCCATCAATGTGTATTACATTCACGAGTCATTAGTTCATGTTTAATTTGGACTTCTCTGTGCTGCTCTTTGAGGGGGTGACCATAGACCTCCATTATATGACTGACAGACAACAACGGTTTGACCTAAAAATATCAAAATTGAAAATACTGTCCGGAAACAAAGACACCTACATCTTGGATGCCCTTGAGGTAAGATAAAACATATCAAAAATTCATTTCACAGCGAACTATCCCTTTAAAAGGATAAACTATGATGTTATGAAGATTCAAGTGAGTTTCTTAATTTTGGTGATCTGCTATGCTTTCCAATTTTGGATTTCAAACCAAATCAGGGTTATAATGAGTAAGAGCAAATATTGACAATTTTTGTCTTTAGCAAAGGAGGTGGAAAACATCATTATATGCAAAATAAAAAAACGTCACATGTTTCCGAAAGCATCCCGGATCAGTTTACCTGTGACTGAAAGCTCTTCCAGTGCTCGGCTGAGTTCGGACAGAGCTTTTGCCAATTCTGATGTAAGGACTGTTTGAGAGAGAGAGAGAAGAGGAAAACTGACATGATATTGGTGAACAAATAATGTTTTGGCTTTGATGTGGCGTTGCGTCCCACATGGATGGCAGACGTACGGCAGAGCTCTGGGAGACGAGCGCACATATCAGACTGCAGACACAAACACCTGGGTCCCACATATATCACAGCTCCTGCCTCATATCGGGCTTTCACTCTTGCTTATCTGATAGATCTCTCGCTTTTCTCTGCGTTTATTAAAGGAAAAGTTCACAGAGAAAAAATATGTAATTATTTACTCACCCTCATGTCGTTCCAAACCTGTGTGCTGTTATTTTTTCCTGTGGGACACACACAAAAATGGTTATTATTTCAGATCATCCAAAAAGGATGACAAAGCACCATTCAATCATTAAACGGGACGGTTTAGAAGAGTAAATGAGGACGGCTTGCTTTTTCAGAGTAACCTATACTTTTAATTATACGACAGTGTTGAAACGGCAGCTGCAGGACCCCACTGTGATTAATAAGTGCCTCGCACAGAACTGCTCAGTAGCTGTAGGACTCTTAGTCACCATATGCTGGAGAAAAACAAGCTAATGAAATAAGGAAACACTCACTGAAACAATGCAAACTTTTTTTTTTTTGCACACCAGCAAGAAAGTGTGCGGTTGTTCACAAAACACTTGTGAGATTTTGATTCTCTTTGAGGAAAATAAATGTGAAATGCCCAGTGATGTCCTAAAGTCAAGATACATGGATGCACACTGCCATCTAGAGGCGATTTGTATAAAACTCAGATCTTTTGCGGCCTCTGCTCAGAATATGCAATCATTTACTCGCCGTCTACATGTACATGGACACTAATGAATTTGTAAATATTGGTGCACTGCACTATTAAACTTAGTTCAAGCTAACTCAATGTGAAGCGATATTTTCAGAATTTTGTTTAGTACTTAATTATTGCTCCAGGTTGAACTGAAATAATGTTCCAGAATTTTTATATTTTCCATAAATAGAATGAACTATTTGCTATATTTTATAGTAGTAATTACATTTGTTTGTTTATACACTGCCTGTCAAAAAGTCTCAGGCTGCCTTTATTTTTGATAAAAACAATCTTGTGGAAAAATTACATTGTGGAAAAAGTACAATTTAAACCAACTATCAATTGAAATTAAATGTTTTCTGTTGACAGCAAGGCAATCAACCCTACTTCTATTCACAAATTAAACTGCTGTTTATTGGATAAAAGCCAGAAGTGATTATATGAGACCATATACATTATATAAATCTTGCCTTAAGAGAATATAGTCAACAAAATTAAGTAAACAGGTTAGTTACAAACTAAGTAGCAGTTAATAATTCTCTAGTGTAAACCCGTATGATTTTAATTTGAGTAGACTTTGAGCTGGTGCCACTTCCATGTGATGATTTCCTGGCTGCTATTTTTGGAGGGTGGAGTTGTTTACTAAGGTTTCTACTGAAATGAAAGTGAATAAAAGGAAAGGGTTGGGTCTAGTGTGGAGAAGTAAAACAGGTTTAATAAAATTTCCAACAGGAGAAAAAAGTAAATCTATCGGATAATTATAAGTCGGGTGTCTGGATTGTTCAGTCATGTCAGACTCTTTGTACTTCCCAGAGGAGGATTTGACATGCCTCATCTGTTGTGATGTCTTCACTGATCCGGTAACTCTGAAATGTAGCCACAGTTTTTGCTCTGAATGCCTCCAGCGTTTCTGGTCGACTCAAGAAGAGCTGTGGTGTCCGGTCTGCCGTAAGAAATGCTCGAGTGACGAACCCACCAAGAGCCTGGCATTCAGAGCGCTCTGTGAATCCTTCAAGATTAGAAAACCCACAGCCGATTCAGGAGACGTTTGTCCGCTGCATAAAGAGACACTCAAACTCTTCTGCTTTGATGACAAGAAGCCCATCTGTGTGGTGTGTTACACTTCAAAGAAGCATGAAAATCACAAGTGTTCTCCTGTCAGTGAGGCTGCTGGGAACTTAAAGGTAGGAGAAGTTTGGAATCTAATCTGAGTGTTTGGTTTCTTCAAGCTTGTTATTAAAGGAGTAGTTCAGTTATGAAAAAACTTTTTCTGATAATTTACTCGCCCCCATGTCATCCAAGATGTCCATGTCTTTCTTTCCTCAGTCGAAAACAAATGAAGGTTTTTGATGAAAACATTACAGGATTTTCTCCATATAATGGACTTCAATGGGGTCCAAACGGTTCAAGGTCCAAAAGACAGTTTCAGTGCAAACTGTTCAAAGGGCTTTAAACGATTCCAGACGATGAATAAGAGTCTTATCAAGCGAAATGATCACTCATTTAAAAAATAAATAACAAAGTTTAAGTTTCATAAGCTCAAATGGTCGCCTTGCCCTGTTCTGTGATGCGCGTTCGTGACTCTCCTGTTCGAACTCGTTCATCAAAATGAACAAATCTTTTTCCGAGTCATTTGGTTCATTTAATGAACGAAACGAATAAATTGACTCAGAAAAAGATTTGTTCATTTTGATGAACGAGTTCGAACAGGAGAGTCATGAACATGCATCGCAGTACAGAGCAAGGCGAGCATTTGAAGTCCATTATATGGAGAAAAATCCTGGAATGTTTTCATCAAAAACCTTAATTTCATTTCGACCGAAGAAATAAAAGACATGGACATCTCGGATGACATGGGGGTGAGTAAATTATCAGCAAAAAAATTTTGAAAAGTGAACTACTCCTTTAAGAGTTTATCCTGTGATTCCAGGAGATTGTCAAAGAAAAAATGGACAGACTTCAGATGACCTTTGCTGACTTTAAGAAAGCCCATGAGAGCTGTGTGGAAGAGGCTGAGCTCATTAAGGTATGTGGTTGGTGTTTCAATCAGTACAATTATGTTAAAGTTCTCCTGTCGTCAATCATTTCATTAAATAGTTTTATTCCTTGTCTTATTTAGTATACACGGTTCCCTTTCAGTCGAGAATGTCAGATGTAGTGATTGTCACTATAGACCTAGGACAGTTACAAAAAATTACTTAATCTTCAAAGAATTGTATTATTAATATAGCTTTATTTATTTGTGATCTCTGTATTTGGTTACCGTCAACATAGTTTCCACATGGTTTGTCTTAAAGCGTATTAAAACACCACATAGACATACAGTATAAACAACCATATAAGCCGGATTCTCACCACAAGGGGACTTTAACGGAAAGGATTAAACCTTCTTAAACCATTTCAGGAACACACCAGTGTAGAAGAAAGCAAGATCAAGGAGGAATTTGAGAAGCTCCATCAGTTTCTTAGAGAGGAAGAGGAGAAACGGATCGGAGCGTTGCGTAAAGAAATGCAAAATCGAGATGAGAAACTCGAGGCCAGAATGGAGGATCTGTCCACACAGATGTCAGATCTGTCTGAGAGGATGGCAACTCTCTGGCAGCTCTTGGATGCTGAAAACATCACTTTTCTCCAGGTACAGATAGGAAATGCATGACACCATCAGAGAGCTGTAATCTGATGCAAACGTGTCTAATAATCATGATGTTCACACACATGACTGAGCACTAACTGTTTTTTTATTTCTCATTCAGAATTACGATGATACAATGAAAAAGTGAGTCTTTTTGCAATTAGCTTTTTATACAGCTAAAAGACCATACCAAATAATCTAAAAACAGAAAAAAATACACATACAGGTGAAACTCAGAAAATTTCAGTTTTCATTTATTTCAGTAATTCAACTTAAAGTGTAAATTGCAGTTTAACCACCACAACCAATTAATGTGTAAATTAAAGTGTTCAATATGTATATATATTTTTTTTAAATTGTGTCTTAAAATAACATTGGGGTTTCTTCAAATGTAGCATGTTTTTTACAGTAACGGGGTGATGACATCATAGGAGGGAGCGCGGGCGCCGGGCGCCGGGCACCCACTCTATATGTTCGGGTTGAGGGAGAAAAACGGTTTGCGGTACTCCTGCAAACTAGAAATATCTATGAATAAAACATAAAAACTAATATATTTTATTCATCTGTTGCAAAAAAACAAAAAACAAGAACGACTAAAGCAAAATAGAAACTATTTACCGGTCAGAGTTTCTATTTATAACACGTTTGCAGCGTTAAGCGATGTAGCCAATCACAGACATATGTTTTGATTTCTAGGAACGCAATGGCCAATCAGAAGCATTTAAGACTCCCCTCACCGCTCAAAACTGACTTTTTGTTCAGCGATGAATTCTGTATGCTGGCAAATCCTCGAATTATAACAAACAAAGTGTAGATATGAAAGATTCATTGATAATAACAGACATGTGTAAGATCGCGATGAACTGATCACAGCTTTTTAGGAATTATTATGGGAATGCACTTTGCTTGCCACTGTAAAACGTACCAACTTTTCATATTATAATATATGCAGCATTTTGGTATAAAAAATAAAAAACAATTGTGGGCAGTTCTTGTCTTTATGTTTAGTAAGCACATTACATTATCTTCTTTATCAACCTGCAGTTTACACTTTAAAAGGTGAAACTAATATTTTATATAGACTCATTACATGCAAAGTAAGATATTTCCAGCCTTTATTTGTTATAATTCTGATGATTATGGCTTACAGCTTATGGAAATGTATTCACAATATTCTAATTTTGAATTTGGGTTTTTCATAAGCTGTAAGCCATAATCATCACAATTATAACAAATAAAGGCTTAAAATATTTCACTTTGCATGTAATGAGCCTATATAATTTCTATAGAGTCTATAGTTTAACCTTTTTAAGTTGAATTACTGAAATAAATGTACTTTTGCACAATATTCAAATTTTTCGAGTTTCACCTGTATATCTGTTTGTGTACACAGATTCAATCACCCATCATCCCCAGACATGACCCCTGAAATGGAGGAATTTCAACCCCATCCCATTCAGACACTGATCTTCACCACCTGGGCCAGAATGCAGAACCTTGTGGAACAGCGTAAGTAATAGCGTCTTCTTAAAGACATCATTTTAACAAATGTTGTTCCAAATTGTATGTGGAATAAAAATGGAAAATTTTGTGCAACTCATTTTGTGTTATACGGTTTACGGTGACCAGAAGCTTGAAAGGTCCAACATGGACAAAAGAAATATACTATAATTTTTGTATATATAACTCGCATACGATTTGATTTAAGGTGTGCCCCTAAATTTTCTGCTTGCGCTCCTAAAATTTTCGGTCAGGGGCAACAGCGCTTCTAGTAAAAAAAGTTAGTCTGGAGCCCTGCCTTGTCTCAGGGAGAAGCACACACTGCGGTTTGGTCTCCCCGCGATGATGCACCAATGCTGCGACTATCCAGTTCTAAGGAATTGGATGTCATCAGCATTAATGAGGGGATTAAGAGAGTTTGCCAGCTCATACCCTTGATGTTGATCTGGAGTTTATGGAGGTTGTGAATCGCGCTGTTGCCAGATTAAATATTGACTGGCCAGCCAAGGAATAATATGAAAGCAAGAGTTTGTTTCTACCATCTAGATCACAGCCTCCTCGCCAGGGTTTGCAGTTTTTTCCCCAACTGAAGTGTCGAAGTCATGGGAAAAAAACGGTTATCTATATAGACTTATCTCACTTGCTTATGAAGCGGCCGGTCAGCCTTCACCTTTGGCTGTTCGGGCCCATTCTACCAGGAGTATGGCTGCCTATAAGGCTTTATAATCAGGGATTTCCCTCCATGCACCAGGCTGGTCCTCACCGCATACATTTGTTTGTTTTTATGACTTGGATCTTGGCTCCACTCCAGGGTTTAGGGTGCTTGCTTAGTGTGCGCAGAGACTTCACACAGAACAGGCGTTTATTATAGCATCTCAAAGCAGCTCGAGTTCCCTTGAAAGGGAAAGTCTCAGGTTTCTTATGCAACCTTGGTTCCTTGAGAGGGAACGAGATGCTGCGTTGCCTTGCCATACTCCCTGCATGCCACTGATTGACTTGCTTTAGCCTATCAGAAGCTGGCGTGGTCTGTTTTCAGTTGTGTTTCATAGTTTCCTGGTCGGTGATGTCACCCGTGACGTCTCGTCTTTCCATTGGACTGATCATACACGTGCTTCACGACGCACGAATCGTCTCAATGCAGCGTCTCGTTGCTTCTCAGGTAACCGGGGTTACATACGTAATCTCAGAGGTTTTCTTTCCGTATATTTCGCATGAATCCTGTATTTTTGTTGTACGAGAGTTTGTTATATATTCATAGTGGCAATAAGGAGGGAAGCAGAAGGGGAAACAGTTTTAGACCGTTTGTTTAAATTACATGCTAAAATTTTACCTCAAAAAAGTAATAAAATAGGCCTAGTGCAAGTTAGTGTTTTGTTGTTTTTGAACCTTACCTTAAAAATAAATAAGGTTATGACACTAAAAACTACGAGTTTAACTTGTATAGATTTCAAATGTCAACATGACATCATGACTTTTGCGTAAACATACACGCCACTTTCGAGTCAAGTGGCGTGTTATCTCTACGCATTTTGAGCTATCCGCGTGTATGTCTACGGCATTAACGTCCGAGTGATTCCGCGTGTACACGCCGTCGAATATCCACTCATAAATGTCATTAACCCCAGTGACGGTTAGGTTTAGGGACGGGGTTGAGGTAAGTCATATATTTATATATACAGTAATAACGTTAAGTCAACGGCGTTCATGAACACGCTGAAAGGCGATTATGTGTCTTGATAGCACGCCAAAAATGGAAATACGAATTGCCGTGTCATACACACGCTACTTCATGACATCAGTCTGCAAATGTTGTTAAAGACATGTAAACTGTCAGTGAAGAAAAATTAATTAAATTATGTGCAATACCACAAAAAAATACAATAGAACAAACATACAAATGAAATATACAGTGCTTTACATGTTTTTCAAGTAGGTCTAACAGTAATTTTCAGGTACAGAAATTGAATAACCAAATGTAAAATAACACTGCATCAATTAAATAAACTGTAGATAAAGTTACAAAGTTATTCAGTCAACAACAGACTGCAGCAGGAATATTAGGCTTAAGTCACTTAAAGAACTGCACAGATCCAATATGCTGTTCTCGAAAGTGTGCAAGTTATATGTTCTTGACTTGATTATTTATATTGGCCATTTAAAACACGTACAAATGATAAGAAATCACTGTTTCAACCGAGCAAGTGACAGTTCTGTTAGGACCACTATCGTTAAATATGAGAAACGAGAGGAGCTGGGGAGGGACAAGGAGAGGGAGAATACTTTAGCCATGCAAATGTCACAAGTAACAGAAAAAAGCACAAATGTCAGAGCATGTCAGAACACCTCAGACCCATAAGGGTTAATTCTGTGGCGCACCTCCATGAATTAGTCTGTGTGGGAACCACAGGACTGTTTCCATGCTCTCTGTGTTTGATCATTAATGCATAACATCACGCGAGTTGGACACAACAGAGGAAAAGGTAAAACGTTAAGCCTAGATTTTTTTGACGATTTTTTTTTGACGATTTTTTATCGTCATTAGAAGTGTTAAAAGTTGTAAAGAGAACCAAATTGAACAAAACAACATAACTGCAAAATTTTAATTTCTGAATATCTAACGGTATCCTTGGTATCGCAAAATCCACATCATACCGGTATAGCGCCCACCCCTAGCGTCAGATGAAGCTGTCTTCCTTTCCCTTGTAGCATGAATACCATGAAAGTACAGTTGGTATGTCTTTTTGATCAAGCCTCTGGTCACCATCCACTTTTATTGTGTGGACCAGAAAAAATAACAAGACAAACACATATTTTGACATTGGAATGCTGGTACTGACCGCGGTAATCTGTGTTTACAGCTCCTGTGACTCTGGACCCAGACACAGCAGCAGCTAAACTGAGGGTGTCACAGGATTGCACCAGTGTTCAGTACGTGGAAGAGAAAATGTTTGTGTCTGATACCCCAGAGAGGCTGTATGTGGGAGTGTTGGCCTCAGAGGGCTTTAGCTCGGGTCTGCACTGCTGGGACGTGGAGGTGGGAGACAACGACCACTGGACACTGGGAGTGATGGGGGAAACAGTGAACCGCAAAAAACTTTGCAAAATGGATCCAATGAGTCGTTTTTGGTGTTTACGTTACGTGGATGGGATATACAAGAAAGGTCGTAAACCTGCCAAAGATATTGATGACGATGAGATGCCGAATATCATCCGACTGCAGCTGGACTTTTACGAAGGACAGCTGAGTTTCATCGATCCCTTCAGAAACCGAATTTTGTGCTCCTACACAGGTGGGTTTCCAGAGAGGGTGTTCCCATATTTCTGCACTGGAGACGTGGACACGCCACTTAATGTTTTTCCGGCAAATCAACAACAAGAGTAAACCACAACTAACGTGATGTATTATTTACACATGTTGTGTTTCATGCATGTGCCATCTTTCTTTAAAGGTGCATTGCGCAACATTTCATAGCCGTTTTCTAACCCATACATGCTTAAACAATCGCCTGATGGGCTGAATGAGCCCTTCTCTGATCACTGAGATCGCCTGTACAGTAAAATAAATAAGAGCGATTCGGGCTCGAGACTGGCCGTGACGTCATGCGCGTTCACGCTGGCCTGGCTATGTGCCTGTCTTGCAGGTTAGTGTATTCGCCGCCATTCTCCGTATCAGAGAAGACAACTCGAGCGACACAACTTTAGTCAACTTTCCACAAAAGTAGAAGATGGATTCAAAGGAGCTGTTTAGCCTACACCTGGTCACTTCATGCGTTTTCTGTGATCGGATAGCTATTCGATCGTGAAAAGACCAGGTTGCCCTCCGAAACGCATTCGAGACGGATTTGAATCCGATCGCTCAAATCACTTGAGGACGTGCCGTGGTCTGGGCCGTATTCCAGACAAAACTGGACAAGTGTTAATCATCTGGTTGTTGAAAGCAGATTATAGGTTATGTCATGTTATTTTAGTCATATATGACGACGCGCATCATCAGATGAGCAGCTGAGCGCCTATTCATCAAGCCAGCACGCCGCAATCTATCGCAAATCAAAGTGAAAGTAAGTTGCAGACGCGCAACACTTCCATCTTCATTAAAAGTAAAGAAATGAACTGATCTTTACCAGGGTTGTTGCCGATCTCTCTTATTGCTGTCTTTGCTGATTTTGAAATTAGCCGATGATTAATAAAATGCAGCTCATATCTGTTGCTTTCGGTGACGTGCACTTCATGAATTCTGTAGCCTATATAGCGCGGGAATTGAAGATCAGATTATATCCGTTTTGCAAAAACACATTTATGTGAGCAGGTGTAATGGAATCGTTTTGATAAATCAGACAGCTATCCGATCTGAGAAAACGCATTGTGGCCAGGTGTAAACAGCCCAAAGAGACCGGCTTGTAGTTCATTCCAAACCCCAACGCAAACTCCACGTGAGACAAAGACAATACAACTTCTGTCTGTCCAGTGCCAGGCGTCGGAATAAGACGAGAGTCAACATCGGGAAGGCTTTCAACAAACGGAGAGATCTCAGGGCGGCTCCTATACAAAGTAATAACTTATATTGTTCATTAACGTGTTTCCATAATTATACAATCATACGTGGATACAGTAAGCACATAAAACAGTTCAACATGGAGATAGATGGAAACAAAAACCGAAGTTTTCTACTACCCCTGTTTTCCCCTCTCACACACATAAGTGTGTAATTTACTCGAATGCCTTTCCTTTCATTTATTTTAAATGACCTGCAGATTTATAACTGTATTACCTCATTATGACTGTAACAAAAGATGTGTGCCGCACAGTGTGCGGCTGATGCTCCTTTGGTTATGAACAGCTTGTCGTGCAAACGTGCATGTATGTGTGTGTGAGCGCGCACGCAGTTTCGCTTGTCGCCAGAGGGGGCGTAGTTCTGCAAAAACACAAAAACTCAAAAGACTTGCGTTTTGCTCCTTTAAAACAAAGGCCATTTGGTTTGATAAACAATGACCTTCATGCATTTTTAAGTGTGCAAGTATTCTAATAATTCTTTAAATTTTTACTTATGTATGTCAAGCCTTGAGATTATTTAATCATGCAATGTTTTAGTACATAGGTGATGCATGAATAATTAGTAGAGATGCAACGATGAATTGGCCAGCGATATTTATTGGCTGATCTATTAATCCAGATGGAACTGGATTCATATTCTGAATGTTATGATCCAATCTGACTTCTGACCTGTAATGTAGCCTGAATCATAATCATAAACTGTTCGCTGGTTGTCCAGAGGAGAACTGGCCGCAGACTGAGCCTGGGTTCTCCCATGGTTTTTTTTTCTCAATTCTCTGTCACTGATGGACTTTTGGTACCTTGCATCTGTTGCCTTTGCTTTTAGCTTGCTCAGTTTGGGACATTTAATTATTCAACAATATTTTTTACAGTATCGGCCTTACTTAAGGTGAACGATTTTCTTCTATAAACAAACTTTGTTGTTTTATTTTCATGTTATCAATGTGAAGCTGCTTTGATACAATCTGTATTGCAAAAAGCACTATATAAATAAAGTTGACTTGATCTGCATAATGGCTATAGTATGAAAATGCCAAACCGATAACTGTGTTTAGACACTGAGATGTGTAACGTCTTTTAAAAAGACTTTATATAATCAGTTTAGCGAGGGAAAGCAGCAAATATTTTCCTGAAGTAGCTAAATCAAGGCGTTTCCACACCTTTTGCACAAAGTTCATGTTTTGATACATTTTATACGTTCAGAAAGTTTTGGTTTGGTTTCACACTGCAATTATGCGAGTGCACTAAAGAACTTTACGTGACATACTTGCATGCTGTCGTCATCATCTATGTGAGCTGCATCTTGATATTGATTGGTTTTGTAAATGGACGTGCGTCTGACGTCAGCGTGTTGTCAATTCGGAGGGTCACTTTGACAACATGAATGAACAGATGCATATCATTGCAACTATGTTATTTTTATGTCATAATTACCCGCAGCACCAACTATACACAAGGCAAGTTCAAATTTGCCAAATGAATGTCCTTGTCGTGCGAACATTTTATCGTCACAGGTGTTCTGACGATTCATGCTACTCATCGAGATTTGCTACTGGTTATGCGCATGTGCAGCTCACAGTATTTTCATGTGTTATAATGTAATTTCCATTTAAAAAAATGCAAACTACCATATTAATATTTGTACGGTCAGCCAGCTGAACAAGAATAACTGAAAGTTTCAGTTACTAAGGAAATGTGTGTTTTGACAAGTCAAAGATGAATATTTGATGATAATTTTTACTTTTCACCGTTTTAAAAATAAAAACACTAACAGTAGTCTAAAGTATACAGTAGCTACTCATAACTTAGAATTGTATTATAATTGTATTTCATATAATATTGAATCGCCATTCTCTGAGATCGATTCACACTACGGTATCATTTTTCGACAAGGCAGCACAAATCGTCAGAACACCGGCAGGAAAGGAGAAGACTACAAGTTGACTTTTTAATATGTCATTAGACCATACTTCGTGTCTCCTCCTCTCCCCATGTGCTACACGGCTAATTTTTTCTGCCACCTTCTGTTTTTTTCGGCTATGCGGGAACTACTGGAACTTCCTGTAAAAGGTCTGAAAGTCCGAACCATACAGAAATGCTTTCACACTAGAAACGAAACAAACCTTTGTTCAGTTTGATCCGGACCGAGACTTCCACTTTTCGTCGGAACAAATTTCATCTGTTTGGTCCTGACCGTGGTGCGGGGAAGGTTTCACACCTGTAATTTTGATTCGGAAAAAAAAAAAAAAATGAAAAGTCAGAAAGTCCAGACCAAACAAGGTAGGTGTGAAAGGGCCCTAATACTTGATATATAAAGCAACCGCACAGGAATTACGCATCAATTATTCCGATCAATAAAAATTATTTGATGCAGAAATAAACTAGATAGCGTACCTTATTGCATATGTTGTTGAACTTTGCGAATTTAAAAAACGATCAAAACCGTATTCTATAATAACAAAAAAACTAAAAAATCAAAATCGGTATCTGAATCGGCTAATAGCTAGGGGCCAGTTGTTCAAAACATTTAATCTGGATCAAAATGATCCGGATTTGGAAATCCCATTTTTTCCTACCCAGGATCAGGTAATCCATCTTACTTTTATGCCGGTTTTTCAAAGCAACATTGGACTGGATCACCCTGATCCAGATACAGTTTTCAAGACAAATGGGACAACATATCACAATGTGGGCTACCAGCTATGTAAAGAACAGGTAGAAGAGCCAACATGGGGTCACTGTAAGTGTTTCTTATTTTGAGACAAAACACAAATGGGGACAAGATCATTTTTATTTTATTTTTACTTTACTATACTGAATAGCTTAATTGTTAGCCTATGTCTACTTTATCACTGTTACAACGGTTACACAAGTCAAGTGCAAAATATAAATAAAAGTATATAGACTAAATGATACGGCGTTCGTAGATGATGGATCGGCGTTCGTAGATCGACTGGTAGAGACTATTTTTCCAAGATGGCTTCTTCCTGAATTCGCGAAATTTACTGTGTGAATAAAACATCTGCTTATTAAACTGTGTGGACACTGACAAAGTTCTCAATGCTTCGGTTTGAATGTAGGGACTATTTTTATGCTGTCGTGTTAGTGCGGGGCTATTTTGAGCCTTTTTAGTGGTAATAACAAGCGATTTTTATTTGTCATTAATCTATGCCCTATATACTAGCATTATACTAGCGTTATAGGCTAAACTGTTTTTAGAGATAAAACTATTTACATTCGGCAATCATGAAAACAAATCTCAGATAACGGTTGACTAGGTAACAATGTGTAACTAGACTAAAGGTTCATTTTGCGCCGGAGTTGTCCTTTAATTTGTCGTCAGGTAAAAGTGACTCACCTCAGGAATCAGAAAACTGAGAAAAGGCGCCATTCGACGCCAGACGTCCGCACCTGCGCACTGCAGACCCCGTTCACTCATACTACGCATGCGCAATCTCAGAAAGACATTTGATTTGATTAAAATGTAAATGTAGGTTCATATTATATATAGACATGAAAATTAAAATTGAGTTAGATACTTTTGTATTTATCTAGAAAAGTGTTTACCAGATTAGAATGAAGGTTAGTTCATTGAAGTTACAATATATATGGTTGAAAAGGCTAAAAATCTGTGCCATCTGATTTATGGATAAATGTGTTGCAGGTTTTGTATTTCCAGCCCATATGATAATGTATAAAAAGTAACACAGTTTTCCTTTTTCAAATATTTATGACTTTTAATAACTGTATTTCTACCAACAGTGTCTTCATAAAATACAGTTTGTGCAAACAGGTTATTGTTTTAAAATGAAAGCAAAAATGTTTCGCTTTTTTTAATATACATATATATCAGTACACTCTTGGCTGACACACACACACACACACACACACAACAGATGATGAATATCAACACACACATCAGTCATATCAATAGGAATACACATTTAACAGGAACAAATGTGCTTGAACTTCCCTTTCTCAAGATGTAAACACAGCATTCAGACACTATTTACACTACAGCAACATGTTAAGGCAACTTTCACAATCCATGCAGCAGCGGTGATTACCAGAAGTGTGCATTCACAAAAGTGTGCGTCAGTTCTCAAAGGTCAACACAAGGGCACGAGAGGGAAGCTGGACGACTGAGACGTGGCCAAAGGGTCCAGCGCTTACCAACATGCAATGTGTTTTCTCAGGGATTGTTGGACAGCAAAGATTTTAAAAAGACAATTAATGAACCACATTTAAAAACAGAATGTGTTAAAATTTTCATATTCTACCATGAATGCAAAAATACAATAACATCATCCGAATAAAAACGTAAATATGAAGAAAAAGTATATTCATATCACCCCGTTATCAAAAGGAAAATGAGAAATTATATTGTACCTGAAGAAAATTAAGCACATTTTAATGTCTGTAATTCCCATTTACAATTTATCATTACATGATTAATTTTCTCCATACAAAATATAACTTCTTTTAATCTCAGAGGTGAAATCTGATTGGTTCTTATAGGGATAGTTTACCCTAAAATTAAAATGAAGTCATCGTTTGCTCACCCTAGTGTTGTTCTTTCTTTTTCGGACCTCGAAAATGTCCCGTTCACGCTCGTCTACAATAGCGATCAGCATCAAGATTTTTTTTTAAAAGCTGCAAAAGTATCCCAGAACGGTCCCATGTGACACGTGTTATTTATACCCCACGTTTTCTAGGAATATACAATAGCGATTGGTAAAAAAAAAAAAAAAAAAAAATCGAATTTAAGAGTATATTAATCTTGATTTCTCACAACTCTCAGTCGGCCGTGAGCAGGACATTTTCTTTAAATAATACGTGAAATCTCGTGTTGTTTTTTATTTACACTTGGATTCACACTTACGACACTTTTTTAAAGCTTGATTCTGGTCGCTATTCACTGCCATTACATGGAAGAATAACATTTTTTAACATTTCTCCTTTCCTGGTCCAAAAAAGAAAGAATGGCAAACGACATTTAAACAACACCAGGGTGAGTAAACGACTTAATTTTCATTTTTAAGTGAACTAACCCTGTGAGACGTCCCTCTCAAATCCATCAGACACTTTCATAACATCACAGAAAATATCATAAAAATCTCTCCGTTGCACAATATCCCACAGTGTCTTTTCTATTGGTCCGATTAAAGCATAAATCCCGTGCATTTTCTCTTTTCGGAAAAGAGGAAGCAGGTAAATAACTCGCATGATATCTCACGAACGTTAAACGATTTGATGTGTTTCATTTACAAAAGCGAATTAATTTGGTCCTTGTTTGAGATCTATTTGGGTGGAGCACAAATCCGTAAGGAGACGACTGTGCTTTAGTGTCCTGAGTGGAAGAGGTTGGTGTGTGTCGTCGTGTCACAGATTCACTCACAGGCCAGTTTGCTGTCGAAACTGGACAGGCCGATGGCAAACGCCTGCAGGGCACACATGGGGTAGTTAAAGTCCAGAGTAAAGATGTCCTCCGCCACACGGCCAAACTGCATCACGATGTAATCCGCTGAAAACACACCAACACACAATCACAACGGCGCACACAATCCTTCCTGGAAAGTCCATTATATTAAGAGCAGGCTTATTATCGTAACATGACATATTTAAACGTTTTTCCCTTCATGCCCTAAAATATCTTGAACGTAACTCGACACCCTTGCCATTTAGTATTCGCGGTTCTATGAATATGAAAATGAGCCCTGCCTCCACTCACTCACTCACTCACTGGTTGACGATCACACGTTACAAGGTCGTTTGTGACGTCAGAAACACCAGCGATTTCAAACTGTGTCTTTGGTTCACTGCAGTTTTGAGGAGGAAATACTCCACTTATCAACTTACACACACCACTCAGACATATAAACAACATTAAAGGGGTTATAGTTCACCCAAAAATGAAAATGATGTCATTAATGAGTCTCCCTCACGCCCGTCAGACCTCCGTTCATCTTCGGGACACAGTTCAAGATATTTTAGATTTAGTCCGAGAGCTTTCTGTCCCTCTATTGGAAATGTGTGTACTGTATACTGTCCTTGTCCAGAAAGGAAATAAAGACATCATCAGAGTAGTCATGTGACATCAGTGGGTTAATTACAATGTTTTGAAGCATCGAAAATACATTTTGGTCCAAAAATAACAAAAACTTGTGTGTTGTGTTACGGTTCTGTTGTGGATCCGCGTTCAGTCGAAGTTTTTGTTATTTTTGGACCAAAATGTATTTTCGATGCTTCAAAACATTGTAATTAACCCACTGATGTCACATGACTACTTTGATGATGTCTTTATTTCCTTTCTGGACAAGGACAGTATACCGTACACACATTTACAATGGACTCTCGGACTAAATCTAAAATATCTTGAACTGTGTCCCGAAGATGAACGTCTGATGGGCATGAGGGAGACTCATTAATGACATCATTTTCATTTTTGGGTGAACTAACCCCTTTAAAAGCTTGATTTTCAGCTTCCCCGATTGGTTATGTCCTCGTGTAACTTACGGTCATTGTCGTGGACGATCTGAAAGTTCTTGACGGACGCCTGAGTGACTCTACCGTGGAAGTTTAACACATATGACTGAGTGTCGTCGTTCCACACCGGCGCTTTATTGTGCAGCTCTATCAGATTGTCCAGGGAATGATTCTGCCATTTACTCAGCAGAGACTCCTGCTCCTGAAACACACACACACACACACACACACTCGCAGTCTGCGCTCATAATGACCATCTGATTGACAGCTGACAGCAGAAACACTCACACAAGGGGGCCGAACCGGGACCCGTTCGAAATTCATGTTCATGCCAGGAATGATCACAGTCATCTTCCGCGGCCCTTTGAAGCCCAGAACATTAGTCTCCTAAAAACACACACACACACACACACATGCACAGTGTTTGTATAAATACTGTAAAATGAAAGGACTTTTCAAGCACTACTTTTTGATTTTTAAGGGCTTCAATAGACCTTATTCAGAGCAGCGCCATGACAGGTATGAAAGTGAGGCTGTGAGGGATAGACTTACCGTGTTTCCAATGGCATCCGCTGTAAAAAGCTGAATAAAGCTCCCAGATTACTTACAATTTTCCACAGCTTACATTGTCGGGAGTTTTTAGTCAACTGACATTTCTTGGAAAGATATTTTTCCAGTGTTTCATGAGCAGAACAATCCGAAAACACATTAAATAACAATACAGCGCATTGAAGAGATGCAAGTCTATCCCTCACAGCCTCGCTTTCATTCTCATTAAAAAACAAAGATGGCGCTGCCGTGAATAAGGCGTATGAGAGATCTTATCGGACAATATCTTTAGTATTTTTTAAGGAAACTCAAACTACACAGATATAAGGTATCCAAAATACAACTTACAACGCATGTAATAATATATTAAATACAAGGCTGTTATTGATCAATAAACACTATTTAATATTATAATGTTGGCGTACTTCGTATCGAGAAAGGCTCTAACGCTGCCTTCACACTGGCAGTTGAAATCAGCTCCGTAATACGCAATACGTTCCCAACGGACGTCGTACTACACAGTGAAAAGCGTCGGACGCGGGTAGAACAAAAATGGCGGAGAGATTAAAGTTTGATTCTGTCAGTTCTGTATGATCTCTCTGATTAGGGTTATGCTGCGTGAGGAAAGTTGCTCAGGACGTTGACATGTCAGGTCGGCTAAAAAATGTGATATAGTGGTCAATAGTTCAATGTCTACCTTCAATTTAATTGTATTAACTGCCCTTATAAACGTTAGAAAGTCATGAAAATAAAAAATGACATCACAAATTATCGTTATAAAATCAATATTTATTTTATTAAAAGTTAATAATTCAGGTTTGTTTATCAGTACCATAGCAACGCTCAACTTCCGCTGGAATTGTCGGATAGGAACCGTCCGTAGCTTTTCGCAAGAGTTCAAATTTTTGAACGCATGCGGATGACCAACGGACACGATTTTCTTCGCACCGCACTCGGTCGGACCCGTTTCGGACCCATTCGCATGCGGTCTGCGAATCTCCATAGGAAATGAATGACTTCCGGTCGTTTCGCAGCCGCATCGGAGCTGATTTCAACTGCCAGTGTGAAGGCGGCGTAATGGGGGATTATCCGTGAAAAGATTGTATTTGTGTTTTTTCATAATTATAAAATATCATTTATATTGTATTTAAATAAGTCAAGCACTTTTCAAGTAGCTCTTTGTATATATGGTTGTTGTTTCAAAGGTTTTCCAGGACGAGTCAAATTTAAGAACAGCACACAACAATGAGAAGTGTCCGGACACAGTGTGAACACACACACACACACACTCACGTAGCAGATGGCGGCGAGCTCCTGGCGTGTGTTGCTCTCCTCCAGCAGTGCTCCGGGGCTTTTCGAAGGGTTCGTGCCATTATCGTACACGGTAAACTTCGTCCCCATCAGATTAGACCTGCACACACACACACACACACACGAAGCATGTAATGTTATTACAGCACTTGGGTTATGTTTGGGCAGCACAATGTCTAACTCAGGGGGTTTCAATCTTCAAGATGCCATGGATCATCCTCAAGCAATGGACCACAATCCTAGCGTTCAAAGGCATGTTTAAACACTACATTTATACTGTGACATTTTTTTCCCATTCACTATAGCAGTGTACTGTTAGCTTATTTGCTTGAACTATTTAGATGACTAAATACACTTCCAAAATTCAAATTTATAGGATTTATTTATATTACTAAGATTTTTATCATTTAATCTCATTTATTTATTGTTTTCTTGCACTGTAGACTGTTTTCTCAGACCCATTTTATTATTATTTTTATAGTATAATTTTATAGTATTTTACATTTATTTACTTATTTTAATAAATTTATTAAATTATTTTATTTTTACATTGTTTTTCAGTCGAACATATTTTTACTTGTTTATTTAATCATTTTAATCATTTTTTATTATTAATAATTTTTTTTTATGTCAATGTATATAAATATATATTTATAAAATCTGACCGATTCATTTATTTAAATAAAAAAAGGATATTTTATTTATTAATTATAATCAAATTTTTCTAGTTTATTTATTAATCTAAATCGTACTAACAGTGGAAACTGTTTTCTGCCATCCATCAATGGGTTCAAAATGCTCAATATGATTGGATCCCTCAAACCACATCTGGATGGATGTCACTTGTGATCAAATGCTCATCTGAGATGTGACGAGTTAAAACAAAAGGTTCTCACCTGAGTTTCCCTATGAAGCTCTCGCCCTCACGGGACAGATCTGTGGCGTCTACAGAGATCAGATAGTTCGATGTCTTGCTCTTTTTCCTCTTGCGTCCAGCCAATAAGAACACCTGATGAAAGAGAGAGAGAGATTATGCATGTTTCCTGTTCAACGGATCTTTTGACAGCATTTGTTACCGCAGAAAATTATTTCCACTACTAATAAGAATTAGATTAATAAATAAACTATAAAAAAAATTGGATTACAATAAATAAATAAAATATAAAAAATGTGATTAAAATAAAAGGATAATAAAATGCTTGTAAAAACAACATAAATAATAATAATAATATTTTTAAATAATGCAATAAATGTAAATGGTATCAAATTAAAATAAATAAATAAAATTGAATATAAAAAAATTAAAACTGATTTAAATAATGACATAAATGAGTAAATAAATAGAAAAACCGTCACCTTCTTGCCATCTTCTCTCTCGAGGTGCATGAAGTATGTTGGGTAGAGTCCGCGGTCCATGCCCTTCTTATCCCGGGAGATGCGGCACTTGAGCGTGACGCCCCGCGGAGCCGGACGAAGCACGAACTCCTCCAGATTATCCACCTCCACGGAGGAGCCCTCGGCGGATGGAGAACTCGCCGGGATACACTCCTGACGGCCGGGGGACAAACATTTATTTACATATTGTAAACACATTTAAAGTATTTGTTTATTTGATTACTTTTATTACATTACATTTTTAATTTTAATCAAATTTTTATTCATGTATTTATTAATAACAGTTCTATTATGTATTATTTTAATAAAATGTTCTCATATTTTTTAAATCTAGTTTTATTTATTTTTTTCAATATTTATGTATTTAGTTTAATCTAAATTACTAATTTATTTTAATCTAATTATTAGTACTTATGTTTTAAACACATTTTTATTATTTAATTCTATTTTATTACTTTTAATTCTATTTTTTAAATATTAAAATATTTATTTAAGAAAAGTTATGTTATGTATTTATTTCAATCAAATGTTTCATGTTTTTTAACCTACGGTTTTATTATTTATTTATTTTTCTTTCATTTTTTATTTATTTTAATCCAAATTATTTATTTATTTTAATCTAACTATTGCTACTTAACTATTTACTATATCTAATTTCAGCATTCATTTATTTTAATATATTTTTATTACTTATTTAAATAACATGTTATTTATTTTAATTAAATAAAAGTTGTATTATGTGTTTATTTTAATCAAATCTTGTATTATAATATAACTTATTTATTTGTAAATTAAAAACTTATCAGAAATATAGCAGAAAGAGTTTGTTATGGAAGAATACTGTCCCAAATGAGATTTTAGCTTGGGAAAAAAGTGCTCGACTAATATTGTGTGTGTGTGTGGCTCTCACCGTGGTGGATTTAGTGCTGGAGGCCGACGCCGGTCGCGTGTTCTCTGTGTTCGGGGAAAGCGATCGGCTTTGCTCTTCGGCTTCATCCTCATCATCCTCGCTGGCCTCATCGTAGTTCATACTGCCCGACAGTCCTGAGAGGAACAGAGTTTAAAGAGCTCCAGATGAGAAACAACAGCCGAAGATCTGCCATTTACACGCAATCTCCTGAGACACACACACTTCACCATCCTGCACTGCGAGTGTGAGTCTGTGCTATTCTTGACATTTTTAAAAATGTCCCCAGTAGAAACATGCCCGTGTTCAGTGTATATCACGGTAATGCACGAGCACAGTGTCATTTGGTTAACTTCACGTTAAGTAAATCCACTTCAAAAGCGAATCACTCCTGGACAGCGATGCCATAGATATACAGAGAGAGAGCAAAACCGGAAGTTCAAAGACAGTATTCTGCATCAAATAACCAACTAAGACCAAACTAATTTTAAAAAACAACACTTAAATTTACATCAGAGTGACAAAAACGACCTAAAATAAATTTTTTGTAAATGTAAGTGTGATTTGATTGTTTAGTTCATAAGACTTGATGGGGAGGCGGGGTTTATGAGCTATACTCGATCGAGGAGCTCACGCTTGGTCTCACCACGTCTCTGCAGCAGTGTGTGTATGTCAGTCTTGGGCTCCAGCAGTGTGTCGGTGTCGGCGTCGGTCTCCGGCTCTTCTGCGGCGGGCGGCGAGGACTGTTGCGTCTGACTGACGGACAGAACCTGGATCTTACATCCCAGATCCGGAGCCTCGGATCCCAGCAGCGCCGCCGGCCCGTCGATGCCTGACGGACAAACACACACACATGAGATCGCTCGCACACACGAGATATTTCCAGATCTATTCGGCAGGTGCAGAAACAAAAGCCTGTCCCAGAGAGAGCGAAGGACAAACAACAGATACGAGTCCTGAGAAACAGATAAGAGAAGCAAAAACTATTACACAAATGACACTGAAGCAAAACAGACGAGGGGAGGACAGGAGTGAAGAAGGCTGCGTCTGCATTAATCCAGATTAAGTTGTGTTCGTTTTGGCTTTCTGAAAATTCGTCCTGGGAAAGCGGATTGAAAACTGAAGACACCCTGACGAGTGGATACATTTGGACATGTCTGCTTTAGCCCAGACATGTCTGATTGATCCGCAACAGGAGGTAGCGCACTACACGAGCCGACAATAACTCTGTCACCCAACGATTCTATCTTCTCTACAAACCACGTTTTGTCACGAAAAATCACGCGATAAAACGAACCGGAAATGACGCGAAACAGCACGCGCGCCAATACCCAGCGAAGAATACTGACCTCAGCCCATGCTCATGACATCACTGAGGTTGAGTCGTGCGAGCGTCTTCGATGCGTTGTTGGCTCTTTCATTCTAACAGATCGCCTATTTATTTAGCTAACCCGAGTGAAAGGTGTCTGATTACATTTTGGTTTGACTGTATATACGATGTGTCAGTGTGCACGAGAAACCATTGAAAACGCTGTAGAGGAGTGTCGTGCTTGAGCTCTCAAAGGTCGCGTGTGATGACCTCACCATCTAGGATGATGTCACTGCCCGTGCTGACGTGTGGCTCGACGAGAAGCGCTTGTTCTTCACTGCGACGGGGTCGTGAGCGCCGAGGACGTCCCTCGGGGTTCGGCTGGACCATCAGCGGCTCCTGGCGTTTCCGTCGCTGCTTCTGCTCCAACAGCGCCCTCTGTGGACACACACACACACACACACACCTCATTCAATCTCTTCAGAAAATTTGGACTAAACCACTCAATTCATTTTACGATCCGTTTATGAACTTATTGAAATGGTTGTTGCGTAACCTGTCAATGGAGAGTAGGGCTGGGCGATATATCGAATATGTACGATGTATCGTTATATTTTTTTGAAACGATATGGAATGAGGCAATACCGTTTATATCGATACAGTAGTTTGATATGAGCACATCTGAAAAATAGCGGAGGTTGCAGTGTGAGCTGCTGCAGTGAAAGTAGCTAGGCTACGTAGTACAATTTGTCCTAAATATGACACAAGCTTATATTAATTGCGTCAAAATCACTTTGATATAGTTAACAAGTTTAAGGCAGCTTGCCGCCCTGTCAAATGCTCTGACAGACACTGTTGCTGACTGACAGATATACTTGCGCTGTTTAATGCGTTTGAGATGTGGTGCTTTCCTCAGTGCTCAACTTACATTTCACATATTCTCCATCTGTAAATGTTAGAAAGTAAAGCAAATATGTCCATTTCACAACAAATATGTCCATGTCAGAAGAGGACGAGCTTCTGCAAGTGAATCTCCGCTAAAGTTCATGCTTCCTTGAACGAGCGCCGGCGCGCGCATGCGCGTGAATAGTACTACGTAGTACGCAATAATTCTGACTAAAATAAACATATTGCTAAAATATTTGTTGTTGGAGAAAATAAATGTGCCATATGTGGAATTTTAAACCTACAAGTATATATTTTTAATGAAAGTGAAAGTGATTATAATGGGGTAATCAAATGCAGGCTAATATAATTAGTTTGTGCTTTTGTTTTTGCTTTTATTTTCATTTTTAGTTGAGCTTTTAGTCAATATAAAAACAAAAGCTTTTTGCACATAATATATTGCATAGCCTATATTATATTTGTTTCCATATCCTTCAATATCAACATTGTTTGTAGGATATCATTGGGCCGAATGTGAATATATATATATATATATATATATATTTTTTTTTTTTTTTTTTAAATATAAAGATTTTCTTTATCTAAATAGAAAACGTAGAAAGTACCGAGATATATATCGTATATCGCCATTTGACCAAAAAATATCGAGATATGATTTTTTGGCCAGCCCTAATGGAGAGACAGACATTTATTATCAGATTTCAAAGATGAACTTTAATGAATGAAAGATGATTTAAATATGAAATATATGAAGAGTTCAGATGCAAAAGCCTCTAAATGCCATTTGAAATTTTCTTCTAGAATGATAATTTTTATCAAGCTTGTATATTTAAGTTCAGTGATTTCACTTAAATAACAATGATAATTACCTATTAATTATTATTAAAGAGAAATTAATGAACTTAAATATACAAGCTTGATAAAAATCATCATTAAAGAAGAAAATTTCAAATGGCATTTAGAGGCTTTTGCATCTGAACTCTTCATATATATTTAATTGATCTGTTAACATTAGTAAATGTACAGTGAACTAACAACGAATACTATATCTTTGATTAACATTACCAAAGATTAATAGATGCTGTAAAAATATAGATTTTTAGTAACTAAAGTTGACAAATGAGAGCTTAACTTACCAACATTTACATCATTCCCACAATTCCATCTAATAAACCTTAAACTAAAATGAAAACTGACAATGTAAAAAATAAAAGCCAATTCAAAATTTGTTCTTTCTTAATATATGAGCATTTTAAGCTGCTTTAATACAATTATATGTGAAAACGGTCAGTGTGAGTGTTCAAATGTTTAATCCAAAGATAATCCGAGATCCAACATTGAGAGCGCAGGAAGTAAAACACAGACAAGGATCAGAATGATGTTCACAGTAAACACACAATCTTTCTCCTAAAACTAAACACTCACAGGAAGATGAAGAAGTTGACGAACGCTCGCTAGAATCATCCTTACGACAGCAGAGAGAGAACCGGGATGAGATGAGAGTCGATGCCGACAGGAAGACAAATGAGGGCTTAGAGAGAAGAAGAGTCTCGTGCTCACGTCGAGGGCGGCACAGGAAACCACACAAACTGTTTTACACCACAAAAGCTCTCGAATATACACAATAATACTGTAGCGCCTCAAGAATTACAGAAGGGAGTTTTTTAGGGGGGGTTTGGTGCCTTCATCGTGATCGGACAGTATAGGTGGACAGGAAGTGAGGCGGGAGAGATCAGGAAAGGTCCGCGAGCTGGGACTCGAACTGGGGTCGCCGACACTGGATGTTACTTTGTTTGGATGCATGTTTGTGTTTTATTGTGTTTGTGTGTGTTTTTGTTTCAACTAGAGCCAGACCGATACATCGGCCGGACAAAATTATCGGCCGATATTAGGCATTTTCCATAATATCGTATCGGCAGTTATAATGGCCGATAAATGAATATTTAAAAAATAAAATAAAAACGGACGAAACACGCTTCAATCATCTCTCCTTGGCCTGTTATATTGAAAATGTATGTTTTCCAATTTGCAGTATGATGTTATCTATTGCTAATCATAGACTAGCTAACCATAAAGCTAGCTAATGCCAATAGCATCAGTGGAAGACCGCTAACGTTAACATTAATGAGCTTGGAAACCACAATGAACTTTTTCTGCCTAAATAAAGTGATGATTACTCTATTTATAACTAGCATATCTCTAGTTACAGTCCCTGTATTGTAAAATGTAAGTTATTCTTGCGAGGAGTGAACATTTAGACATAGAGAAAAAGTATCAAACGTATCTTGTGCAGAAAAGTTAGCTTTTCTTTTACACGTGTGTGAAATCCAACAATATTTAATAAACAAAATAATTAAATAAATAAAACAAATCGGCCGATATATCGGAATATCGGATTTTAAAACCCAAAAATATTTGTATCGGTATTGGCCTTCAAAATCCTTTATCGGTCGGGCTCTAGTTTCAACGTATGTAAATGTGTATTATTGTGGTTTGGCGTGTGTTTAGTGTATTATGTTGTTTTATATAACACGGATGGAATCGGGGAATTCAGTCATAAAAACGCAATTCACCGAATAATGCGGAAATTGTCAAATTCTTAATGACTAAAAGCAGGTCAGTAAACTTAAATCAGATTGTGATATAGACTAGTGTCTGTGACTATTAAAAAGACTGTTTAAATACAAGTCTCATTATATGAGGACATGAATGCGTGAACTTCAGCTCCAGAGTCACTTCATGAGCATTTCAGCATTTCATTTGAGAACATCTATCGTCGTATCACACACACACACAGGATCATCATCGTTGTATCACACACACACAGGAACTCCAAGGTCTTCACGGCAACCCGTCAAAATAAAAGTTTGGTTTAACTTGAAGAAATTGTGACAGAAATATGTACAATAAAATCTAACTACCTTTTCAATAATAATACAAACACTAATAACAATAATAAATGCCTATTACAACTTACATTTTTAATGTTTTAATTTTGTTGTGCAGCACTTCATACACAAAGCGTCATTAATTTTGTTATTTTTATTCTTTTAATTAATTAGACATGCTTTTTGATCATTAAAATTTAATTGAACCATTAAAATGGAAAAAACGGAATCCAGAAATGGAAAAAACTGAATTTGGGGAAAAAATAAAACGGAATTTAGGAAAAAATGATACAGATTTCATAGTACCCTATTTAATGTGTTTTGACACATTATTATGTATTATTGTGTTTTGACGCATGTTTATGTTGCATTTGTTTTTTTGTGTCACTGTGTATTATTTTGTTTTATTGTGTTTTGACGCATGTTATTGTGTATTATTGTGTTCTAGCATGTGTAATTGTGTATTATTGTGTTTTTATCATGCACAGCATTTGTGTTTTGAAGTGTGTATTGTTGTTTTAACTGTGTGTAAATGTGCCTCACCTGTTTCTCCAGTTTTTGCTGTCTGAGGTTCAGACTGTCGTCCTCCAGCGTACTGAAACACAATAAAACAACATTGCGAACCCATTTAAAACACACCTATATCCTTTTATACACACACTTATATCCTCTCATTCAGTAGATAAGCTCAATATAATTACCAAAGGCTGAATCTAATGCTAAAATACACAATTTGACATGTTGAAAGATGGCTATGAGCGTCCAGACTAGAACTTGAGTCTGTGTGTGTTGGCATCATTCGTGTATCAGTCATTGTGTTGCTAGGCAACCGAGAGACACCCAAATGAAAGAAAATCAATTTCTCACAAACATCCTCACATCTATACATCTAAAAATACACACACACACCCACACACACACGCAGAGAGAAACATTTCAAACCCGTGTTAAAAAGAAACATGAAACTACTATTTTTGTTTGTATTATTGCAGCAGTTAGAGATCCATCTACATTAGATCTGGTCACTAAAGACCTGAACATGTAATTATGTTTGGCAAAATATTCATTAATTTAAGGGTTAACTTGAGGCAGGAAAGCAGCCACATAGCAACGACCTAGCGACCACCCACAACACCTTAGCAACCGCATAGCAACATGCTTAAACCAATCAGAACACTGCACTGAAAGATGCCCTGCCAACTTCCTACAACACACTACCAGGACCATTAGTAAAAAGTAGTGTGTGTGTGTTGTACCTGGTCATGGCGGTGGACGCGAAGCTGGAGGAACTGGAGGGTCTTTGTATCCATGACGATCACAGCCGTCCAGAGGAGAGAAGAAACACAAGAGAAAGGAGAAAGAGTCTGTGAGTATCAGTGATGCAGTCTGAACACACACCTGAATGAATGTTTCATGCTCACGGCGTGGCCGGGGTAAGACGACACACAAGCCTTCTGATCATGAGACACCTGTGTAACCATGGTTACCACCATCAACATGACAACTTAGAACAGGAGACAGAAAAAAAGGGAAAGAAAAGAAAATATGCTCTCTAAAACAGGAGACAGAAAGAAAGAAAGAAAGATCAGCTGAAGTGTGTGTGAGTGATGAGTGGAAACTTCACATCTCAGACCATGATCTACATCCATCCATCCATTTCATCTATCTATATACATCATCCATCCATTTATCTATCGATCCATCCAGAATCAATCGATTCATCCATCTATCATTCATCTATCTAGAATCCATCCATCCATCCATCTATACATCCATCCATCTAGAATCAATCCATTCATCCATCTATCATTCATCCATCTAGAATCCATCCATCCATCTATACATCCATCTATCATTCATCTATGTAGAATCCATCCATCTAGAATCCATCCATCCATCTATACATCCATCTATCATTCATCTATGTAGAATCCATCCATCTAGAATCCATCCATCCATCTATCATTCATCTATCTAGAATCCATCCATCCATCCATGTATACATCCATCTATCATTCATCCATCTAGAATTCATCCATCTAGAATCCATCCATCCATCTATACATCCATCTATACATCTATAATCAATCCATCTATCCATCTATCATTCATCTATCTATCATCCATCCATTCATCCATCTAGAATCCATCCATCCATCTATACATCTATAATCAATCCATCTGTTACTCTGTTCTTCTCTATACAGTTCATGTCAATATGATGCGTCATTCAGGAAACGAAACACATCTTAATGACTGCAAACACACCTCACAAACACACAACAGAGCGACTGTCCTCATGTGAATCCAGAGCACATACACACCTCAATTAAACACACACACACAAACTGAGAAACTCGACCTTGTCCTCCGTACGTCCGACCTATGTGTGTGTGTGTGTGTGTACCTGTACGACCAGCGGCTGTAAGCGGGCGGAGAAGAGCTCTTCACCTTCTCCATGTCGAGTGTGTGTGTGTGTTTCTGTGTTTTGCGGTCTCTACCTCGTGCAGGTCATGTGGGAACACACACACACACTCATGAAGCCCATAGGTGAGCCCTCTGGGATGATGCTGGTTACTACGGCAACAACACCCCACACACGCCCTGTGAAAAGTCGGATGCTACGGGGCGTTTGGTTTGCGGGAGGACACTGAAGTGTGAAGGCTTCACCACTACACACACACACACACACCACTGCACGTGTGTCATGTTTCACAGCGGACAGGGAACGTTCTCTCAAAGAAGTATTCAAGAAAAAAGAAAAGTATCCATAATAGAACGTTCATTCAAAGTTATCTGGTCTTCAATAATGTTCTCATCATTCATGGAACTGATTTCGTCTTAGTTCCGTTTCGGAATCTTCAGAGAACATTTAAAAGTAACATTTACATAATGTTTGCAAAATTATCAAATGAAATGTTTTTTAACGTTTCTACATATATATAATTTATAAAATTGACATTTTGAACGTTCAGAAATTAAATTTTCGTAACTTAATGGTAATGTTACCAAAAATTCTTCTAATATTTCTATTAGCTAGGAAGTGGGATGGCGACCATTATTCCTAAAAAGCATTTTTGTCCGTTTGTAAAACGTTTTTTTTTTCTTGGTTATACGAATGTTAAGAAAACGATTTGTTTTGCAAACATTAAAGGAACGTTACTTATAAATGTTCTCGGAACGTTCTGAAACAAGTTTAACATTTAAAAAAAAGTTCAGTTTTTTAGTCATTTAACTACAATGTTTAAGTTTTTTTATTTATTTACATTATTTAAGACCAGATCATTTTGGAAGAACTTTGAGAGAACATTGGGTTCCTCCTCGTTATCTCGGTGTGACTGATTCAAGCGTCCGTACGTACACATGTACGTATGTTCATGTACCTGCAGCCTAATGGTCTTTTTGAACTAAGAAGGTTGATGAAAAGTTTAGTCTTTAAACATTATGAGCCCTTTGAATAGAGAAAACACTCTGCAAAACCCAGGCTTGCAAGCAACCGTCTGCTATGTAAATTATTCTAAATGTAAACCCAAACCGCAATCATCTCATCAGTAGCGTGTCATTTTCTTCTCACGGCTCTGATAATGAGCCAATCTCGGGCTGTTCTTCTCCCACATCTTCTGGTGGCCGCCGGAACAGACCATAATTGCACAATAATGACTCTCAGAGACATTCATCAGGTCTGAGAGTGGATGGACTATTTTCTGGTTTTGAGAATAAACTCCCTGAAAAAGCACGCTCTGATTCGTGCATCCAGGCCAGCTGCGTTCATAAAGAAGATCTGGGAGACACACACAAACATGCATGCAAATACAGAACAATCCTAATGCATGTGTTTGTGCTGTTCCTTACAATAACCACAAGAGATCACAAAGGACTGAACTCAATTGCATGTAATTTATTAGAGGTTCTGACAAAACGTCACTTGCTGCAGAATATGTAAAAAATATATATCATTTTTTTTTTTTAAATCAGTTTGAATGAATGATTAAATGACTCGCTCATAAAGACATGTTTCATTACTGGATGAATCAAATCTGTTGAATGAATGATTCAATGACTCAGTCATAACGACTTTGCTTGTTTCATTACTGGATGAATCAAATCTCTTGAATGAATGATTCAATGACTCACTCATAAAGACTTTGCTTGTTTCATTACTGGATGAATCAAATCTCTTGAATGAATGATTCAATGACTCACTCATAAAGACTTTGCTTGTTTCATTACTGGATGAATCAAATCTCTTGAATGAATGATTCAATGACTATTACATTTATGTCACTGAATTTATTAATTCTGAACTATACATTTTTATAGTAAAAAAACCCAGTACTTCTGTGATAATGTGAACTATTATAAGACATAAATAATGATACTGTGTCGTTAAAAAGACTGTTAGTGTTCGCTGTTTCATGACAACGGCTCTCTCTGGATCAGAACACAGATCTGAATGCGCGATCGTATTTGTCAAGAGCTGAATCGCTGTCATTGAGAAATAAAATTGCATGGGTGTTTGAAACGGGATCACCATCTTTTAACAATCAATCCTGCATCTCTACTAGAAAAACCAGTCCATCTAATCCGAGTCCGAGAAACCTTGAAGAAAACACACAGCACAAGCCAAAGTGGTCTGTCGTTATCAGAGATGTAAACTACATGAGCTGTTCTCAGAAGAAGGCTGTATGTTAAACAAAAGCTGCAGATAAACCCAAACCACTTCCTGTGCTTGTGCATTACGAAACCTCACCGAATTCCAGCCCACGGCATCATGGGAAAGGAAGGAGTGTGGTTCTGATAGGATAGAGCTGGTTGTGTTTGGAGGACTAAACATGCACACAGAAACTGAGAGCAGATGCCGAACGTGATCTTAATCTTGTCAACACATTCGACTCAGGACTCAGAGACGTCCTTCCTCATCGCTGTCAGAAGAGCTTCATCCACAACACGGATCATAATCAGAGACGGCTAATCAATCCCCGTCTTCATATGACCAGTGTTAGCAACAGATGAACTCCAGAGTTTGTCCAGTCGAATGGAATTAATTCAGACGGCTTATAAAAATAAATAAGTATCGATATATAAACAGATTTTAAAATAAGGGCAGTCAAATCGATTCATTGAGATTAATCAAATCTAACATAAAAGTTTGTGTTTATATATGTGTGTGTATGTATACTGTACACACACACACACACGTATGTATACAGTTTATACATACATATAGTATGTGTATGTAAGTTTACACACACACACACACACTAGAGCCAGAACGATAAAGGATTTTGAAGGCCGATACCGATACAAATATTTGTTGGTTTTAAAATCCGATATTCCGATATATCGGCCGATATTATTATTATTATCTCAGAAACGCACAACAAAATATTGACAGATTTCCCTAACATTATTTGTAGTTATTTATGAGTTTTAACTAAAATAATATGATAATGCATTTTAAAAAGAAACTTGTTTCTATTGTGACAACAGAACAGAGGAACATCAAAATATATTAAAGTTCTGATAAATAAAATAATAAATAGCCCCTATATTGCCTTATAGTTATAAGCTGCGTGATTCGTCCATTTTTATTTTATTTTATTTTTGAAATATTCATTTATCGGCCATTATAACTGCCGATACCGATATTTTAGAAAATGCCTAATATCGGCCGATATCGGCCTGCCGATATATCGGTCTGGCTCTAACACACACACACATGCATATAATATGTAAATACAGAGTAAATATATATTAAATATATATACACATACACATATTATACATAAACACAAACTTTTATGTGATTAATTGTGATAAATATCTGTGCAATATTTTAAGTTAATTTAAATATTGTGTAGATTTAAATAGATTAAGTAATCAACTATATTTATGAAAACATTTCAATTCACCTAAAAATAAAATGAGTAAAAAAATCAAGAACCTATGTATCGAATAAAAGAAAATTAAGCCTACTAATGTAATGTGATATTATTAGCGAATGTCACCTTCAAATTCTATTTATTTTGTATTATGATGTCATATTTGGACACAGTGTTTTTATTGTATTTTATTGAAATGAGTGCAAATGAAATAACAAATCGTTATTTTGGCATCACAGTTATTGGAAGGAGGTTAAGCTAATTGTCTTGAACAAAATGTTACGATGTCAAAAATCTTAATGACGGGACTATAAGGCATATTTTTTTAATGTTAAAAAGTCCAGCTCAAACTATATTATGATGTCATTTCAATATAGTAATGACGTACATATTGCATCACATGACTATCAGAAACGTGAAACCACTGGATATTTGTAACGGTCGGTAACGCATTCGAGCGACTAAGTTAATGAATTAGATCCATCATCAAATTCAAAAATATAAAGTAATCATTAGATTTACAGACGAGTAGCTGAAGCTCATAATTCAGACTGTTATGTCCATCTGTATCCCTGCTGCTATCATCATCCAGCTAACGTTAACTGCTTCTCAACCGTTACAGCCCTGACCGCATTCATTCACACACCCCTGCTTTATTCTCCTGCTCTTCTGTTCATCATCCAGCAGTTTAATTCAGATTTGTGTGTGTTTTGTTCTAAATCCGTGTGTGTTGTTTTGTGTTTTTAGCTTGATGGCTGATGTTACAGCGCGCGTGCGAAACGCAACAGGATCCCACCGACAAAAAAACACACCAAAGTTACGAAAGACACGATAAATCACACATGCGCGCACACCGCGGTCCCAAAACGGACGTCACTTTTGGATAATTTCTAAGAAATGTTTCCATCGGTGTCTTACCTGCTGTAGTAACTCATGTTTATCCGCCGTTGCTATGGATTCCCCCGCAACTGTCGCGTCGCGTCCCTGTGCGGCGTGTGTGCAAAACCCGCAGCGGCCGCGACGAGCACGCGCCTGCGCATGCGCACCTTACGATTCCTTAGGTTACAATCGTGCTCATCCTCAAGGTGGCGCGTGATGACTCGGAATCAGAAAATCCAATCACATCTCAGCACGGTTATTGTTTTATTGTAGATATTTGTACACTAAAAAAATATTATTTTTCCAATCTATACATTAAAAATGCGAGATAGCCTATCTCACATCCGCATATGAATCTCAACTGATCACCACAAACGACTGTGATTGGTAACAGTGGTGCTGTCACGTGGGATTGCGTTACATTTTTCAGCGATTTTCAATCAGATGCTCCAATCACAGTAGTTTGTGATGAATCTGAACAACAATTTACACTGGATAGATCGTTCGAATCCACGAACACATGTTTTATGATGCTAGCGTAATTGAAATTTTACGTTCATACATGAATTTTAATAACAGCTGCATTGGCTGGTCTTAAAGGGACAGTTCACGCAAAATTAAAAAAATCCCTTCATTACCCACATGTCGCTCCAAAGCATTGGGATCTTTTTTAGACCATTTTGCAAGATGTAAACACTGTTCCAGAAGCACTTCCTGTTTCAGTTTTTTTAACACTACATAAAAGCTGGGATAAAATACAACCAACAGAACATATAAAATTTAATCAAAAAGTTAAACAAACATCTTTAAGATGTTTTCTTACATGTGAAATAAAGAAATCAGTTACAAAGTAAAAAAGGAAGTGTTTCTGGACCAGTGTTGTTTACATCTTGTAAATGAGTTGTTTAGTTGTCCAAATTTTCTAAAGAGACATGATCGTTAATATGATGAACAGAGTGAATTTAGGCTTTTATTCACATATAAACACCCATCAACTCGCACATCGTGGTAAACGGAAGCTCAAGCACAAGCTCATGTTCACTTGACAAAAAATAACGAGGTTCATTCTTGTGTTTGTTTATGCACCATCAAAAGTGATCGAGTGTCTTCAGAAAATTTGGACTAAACCACTCAATTCATATGGATTATTATGTTACGATCTCTTTATGAACTTTTTGAAGTATCAAATTAGTTGCGTAGCAGTCAATGAAGGCACAGTAATGTCATATTTCATAAAAAAAGATCTTCATTTGTGTTTCGAAGATGAACAAAATATTGCGTTTTTGAAACGGTGAGTAATTAATAGCAGCATTTTCATTTTTGGGTGAGATCCCTTTAAGTTAGTAATGGTTTGCTACTGGTCTAGTGCTGGTCTCCAGCACAGTCTCTCTATACTATTATTAGTGTGAATGAGTTGAACAAATAGTTTTTGGGTCCACTGTGTGCCGATTTAAAAAGAAGATTGACAATTGTTATTAAATTTTAATAATTTAGTATTTATAAAAAAAAATAAAAAAAAATACCAGGTATTTTAATCTATCCTTCGGAATCATGTATTAAAGATGATTAAAATATTCAAGCAGATCAAAGTTACTATGGTTACACAGCACACTTGAGTTTAGATTGCACAACAGAGGAGAAAGAGAAAAAGAGAGGTTTACAAAACTTTATTTAAAACACTTAATATTCAACAATTAACATTATTTGTATATATGGAAAAAAAATTAAAAAAAAAACATTAAAATTCCAAAACCAGATTTCCATTATCAACACACAAAGCATCATTAACACACCACCAATCACTGAAACCCTTCTCATTACATCACTTCACTCAGTTCTTTGGCTGTAAAAGCTCTTTCAATGGTGAAGGATTTGTTTGGCTGAAATGCAGAAGCTACTGAGAATGAAACAGCCGCCCCATGAACAACCCGTATGCCTTGTCTCACAGTACAGTTGGCTATATCTTCAGGAAGTCCTTGAAGATCAAGTTGCTGTGCTGCTTCATACAGCAACATTGTCTTCTCTGATCAGTCATCCAACATAGCATATACATCAAGTACCTTCTCTCCATTTCTCAAGATCACTCGGCTGACCTTCAAAAGAACTTTGCTGCCTGCAGTTGGTCCATCCATATACAAAGTCTCAACTTCCGAGTTCACAAGACAAGTGTTTTCTGCTGAAGCTTGTGTTTCATGTTTACCTTGGGCATTGAAGTCATGTAGTATTTCTAAATGTCTCTTCACATTTGGCTTCAAGATTACATTGTGAGATCTGGTGATCACGACCACACGTAAAGCACTTCTGATTTGACTTCAGCCAAGACTCAGTTCACTTGAAATTAGCGCACTGATTGTAGTAATGCTGCACAGTGTTGCAGAAGGGGCAGTACTTTGTCAGTTTCTCCTTCTTGACTGCTGGGACACTTGCTGGTTTACTCTGTTGGCCACCATGCAGTTCCTTTGCTGTTCTCTCGGTGGCTGAGAGTAGGCTCTGCTTACATTACTAACGTACTGTGACTCATCCTCTTGTATTCTGAGCTCATAATTTAGCCAATCGCTGAGTTCAATCAGTGCTGGAACTGGGTTCTGAATGGGGTTAACAAACCTTCTGAAGTTTGCTTTAAGATCATGAGGCAATTTGGCAAGGAGACGTGAAACATGTGACCCACATTTGAGCTCCGTCTATCCTTTAGCTCCAAGTTGGTCCAGCATTCCAACTCACACACGCCCTTTGAGGGCAAACATTCTCAAAGATTTAGTGTCACCACTCCTGATTTTTGGGCCATCCATCAATTCTGCCATTCCTTGTAGTGCGAGTTGATGTGGTTGACCATAAAGTGCAGTTAGAAACCTCATGGTGTTGGTGTATGGGTACCTGCTGTTGACATACGAGTCTGCAATGAGCAGGGCATTCTCCTGTTTCAGATCAACGAGTATTTGGTACTTGAAACGTTCTGTAGCCTCGGCAGGTAGCAAATTCTCCAGTGCAAATTTGAGTCATGCAAACTCTGTGGGATCTTTACTGCAAAAATGAGGAATGGTGGGGATAGGACCTCTGTAGGTGGGCTCTACATGAGGATATGGAAGAGAAGGAGGGTGCACTGGGTGGTATGGCTGATATGTCTCAGGCTGAGCGTAATCTGCGTACTGTTGTGGGGTCAAGAAGCTTGATTTGTCTGTAGGATTAGGAGCTGATTGACCATAGCTGTCTGAGTGTCTCTCATGTGCATGGTGAGCTAATGTATCCCTTCTTGATAGACTGGACTTGAAGCTGGAATCCCATGATAAGGTTGCTGATAACCACATGGTTCAGTGAAAGGGAAATAGCTGACAGACTATGATCTTTCCAAGTCCCATACATAGCTGCCGTCTCTTGACTATAGTCCTGAGGCATAAACTGAACAGCTGCGGGATATTGGTTGCGATCTCTTTGGTCAGTGGACATATAGTTATGGCCTCTGTGGTCTGTGTTGTAGTAACCATGTGGGCTGTCTCTGTGCCTAATACCAGGTTGAGGATATGTAGCATCTTCTTGATGGGCTAGCTTGTGTTGGGATTGAGTTGGTTTAAGGATGACTTGAAGTTAGCCGAGTTGCTGAGCCTGGTAGATTTAGTTCTAGGTTGTCAGTGAGACAATCAATCTCTTTGTGACTGACAGAATGAGAATGCAGAAGGTCACCTCGTGAATCTACAGACAGTGCCCTCATGGGCTGAGGAGGATCATCTTGATCTCTAGGCAGAACTGACCTGCCCTCAGTGGCTGCTGTATATGGACTTGAGGAGAGAACTCTGATCTGCATAAATTATTTGCCTTGGAGAAGTCCGAGTACGGGGCATTGGCCGTGGCGGTAAATCTTGATATGTCTCCACATACGAACTCCTCTCACTTGATCCAGTGCTCGTAATTTTCGTTAGTTCTTGTCCGCTTTCAATACATGTGAACTCTTTAAATGCAGGCCTTTTACCTGGTTCAGATCCAGTGGCACCATTTGTAGGCTGCACTGTGTAATCAACATAGAAGTCATCGAAGTATCTTGGTGGGGTGACCTGTCGACATGGTCGACCCACTGGTGGCACTGATGTAGCCGGTCTTTCTGTTCTAGACATGGTAATGCTGTAGTAGCTGTCTGCTCCGGCTCAAAGGACCAAATTTTGTATGAAAGTTGTTGAGGTGCGGATCTTCAACTGGGTGACAACCGCTACAGATTGTTCAAGCAGAACAATAAATCACATGGTCCATGTCCACAGTAAAGTTTTTTACTGTTGTCTTTCGATTCATACATCAGTATGGGTGTGGTTCTAGCCAAGTCGTCCTCAGACAAGCCTTTCATTGTTGCTTCCAGGCATCCCGATTCTCCATGCATCCGGCCAGTTCGTTGGTGCTCTGGGCTCTATAAATGAACAATAATGAATATAAATACAATGAATCAGAAACAGTAATAACTGAACATTATAAAAGTAATACAATGGCATGGAGATAAGGACATATTATACAAGTCCAGCAGCTGTATGCAAGTTTCCTGAGGTTTATACACATTCACTTTAAATAAACCATCAGATGAAACCGAATTGAATATTTCCACATAATAATCATAAGGGAACATTCAAAGTCTAATTCAGCGCGTTTTGTTGAAATGAATGTACGATCAAGCTTACATGTGCTCCCCTCCAAGAGATATACAGCTTTGTTTGTAAAGGACACCATTGCAGATTGACACCATTACATCTGCAAGAGAAAGTCCAAACAAACAGTGAAAAATATCAACTTTGTGGCTTAAAGTGGAGGTCTTGTAAAGATGAAAGACTATATGGTTCAGATCAGACAATAGCTCACCTGTTCCCTCCTCAGTAACATTCACATTAACAAGAAATGCATCTTGCATTTGGGCTTCAAATTTGGTGTTGAAAAACACTGACGCATCAACAGTAAGAGAGGCACAGCCCGTGGCATTCATCTGGTAGGAGAACAAAGACACAATTAAGTCAAGCACAGGCAAAAGGAAAACCCTTGGCAGTAAGGCAGGAGTCACACACCTTTGTGGTTTGAGTCCGGCACTGTCCAGTCAAATGATGAAGCAGACTGTATGGAAACGGATCACGGCACACTTCCACTAAGGCTTGACCAGGTACAGGTTGGCCATATGTATATCTGGGAAACATCATAACAAGATAAAGAACTGACCAACCACAAGACAAGAAAATAAAGCATCACTCACTTGGCACAAGACTCAACTTTCAGTCCCATAACTGCAACGCTGTAGGTCTGCGGTGCGTTTACAGTCACGTCAGACTTGGGCAAAACTAAACCAGAAACAAAGTGCTTTAGATTAAGGCCTCAGAGCCGTCATTGAACTTCCCTCTCACAACAACTTACCGTATTTTTTCACCTCAAAAACTTCAGAGACTAGTGTTGGGACTCTTCACTCCATGGCTACTCCATTCTGCGGCGCCTAGGTCTTTGTGACTGACGGACGGATGCACAGACGGACGGACGCACGCACAGACGGACTGACGCACGCACAGACGGACAGACGCATGCACGGACGCACAGACGGACTGACGCATGCACAGACGGACGGACGCACGCACAGACGGACGGACGCACGGACGGACGGACGCACAGACGGACTGACGCATGCACAGACGGACAGACGCATGCACGGACGCACAGACGGACTGACGCATGCACAGACGGACGGACGCACGCACAGACGGACGGACGCACGGACGGACGGACGCACAGACGGACGCACGCACAGACGGACACACGCACAGACGGACGGACGGACGCACAGACGGACGGACGCACGCACGGACGGAGCATTCTAATCAGAAGTGCCACACACTGAAATATTCAGATTAAAAACCCAAACAAAAAACCTGATTGAGGCACACAGACACCCTTTCAGCACTCAGACGTCTTCCTGGCTCCATGATCCGGACGCTCTGATCTACAGCACTGAGGCCACACAGACATCCCGCTTGAGCAGAAACCATCAGAACATTTCCCTCCGCAGGAACCGCCGTAGCTGGAGAAAACTGCAGAGACACCTGGAACAAGGACCTACACGCTGTAGGACACACACCAACATTCCCAAATTGAAAAATAGCCACATCATACAGTACCTGGTTCTGGAAACACATATCGGTGCCAAACGGCACACTAGCAGCAACTACATTCTCACTGGGAAGAACGCTGTAGACCAGAATCTGCACGGCTGGGGTCATATCGACGCGGACAGACAACTGGAACGTCACAGAGCCACTTGTGACTGCATCACCAGCTTTAACCGTCTGAAATCCATGGAGGACGATCACTCCTTTGGATAAGACAGAAGACATAGGTGTGCAAGTTGTGGAACAAACAGACCAGCAAACTTAACTACAAAACTAATGTCCACTCACCATATAGATCGTCAGCGCTGTAGCTACCAGCCTCTCCAACAAATGAATACTCCACGGTCACTGGAAACGAAGCACCACATTTGAGCAGCTGATTGAGCTTCACTATAGTCAGTTCACTAAACGATGGGTTGTCGGAAGAAACAGGTAGGAGAAGCTGAACAAACCTTGTATCTGTAGTGAAGTATGGCGATTTACAACCATAAAAAACCTCTGGATTAGCACTCGCCTGGGGAAGATCAAACTTAATCAGTATAATGCTAGAGAAAGTCTTAATTTTTACAAAATACAAGTCGTACCAGCAGATTCAGATCAGCCTTAAGACTAGCAGTGTTTAGGGAGAACGCAGCCCGTCCATTCTTGTTTAAGGTTAGATTCTACAGCGGTTTGCTCCCCTCCAAGAGATATACAGCTTTGTTTGTAAAGGACACCATTGCAGATTGACACCATTACATCTGCAAGAGAAAGTCCAAACAAACAGTGAAAAATATCAACTTTGTGGCTTAAAGTGGAGGTCTTGTAAAGATGAAAGACTATATGGTTCAGATCAGACAATAGCTCACCTGTTCCCTCCTCAGTAACATTCACATTTACAAGAAATGTGTCTTGCATTTGGTCTTCAAATTTGGTGTTGAAAAACACTGACGCATCAACAGTAAGAGAGGCACAGCCCGTGGCATTCATCTGGTAGGAGAACAAAGACACAATTAAGTGAAGCACAGGCAAAAGGAAAACTCAGCAGTAAGGCAGGAGTCACACACCTTTGCGGTTTGAGTCCGGCACGGTCTGGTCAAATGATGAAGCAGACTGTATGGAAATGGATCACGGCACACTTCCACTAAGGCTTGACCAGGTACAGGTTGGCCATATGTATATCTGGGAAACATCATAAGATAAAGAACTGACCAACCACAAGACAAGAAAATAAAGCATCACTCACTTGGCACAAGACTCAACTTTCAGTCCCATAACTGCAACGCTGTAGGCACGTCAGACTTGGGCAAAACTAAACCAGAAACAAAGTGCTTTAGATTAAGGCTTCAGATCCGTCATTGAACTTCCCTTACACAACAACTTACCGTATTTTTTCACCTCAAAAACTTGGGAGACTAGTGTTGGGACTCTTCACTCCATGGCTACTCCATTCTGCAGCGCTGCGGTCTAGTCGCTGGCGCCTAGGTCTGTGTGTCTCACTGCCTCACCGCTTCTCTGGCTACGTGGTGTGCTCCACCTCCATCAGCTCCGGTAATCCCCTTGGTAGTGTTGGGACTCTTCACTCCATGGCTACTTCATTCTGCGACACCGCCGTGGGATGCAGTCCTGACTGTGGGCTGGGTCTCCGTCAGCTTTTCCCTGCTCAAGGCCATCCCTCCTGGCTGTCACCACCACCTGCACCAACCTTTCCTCCAGCTACGGACGGGAGGATAGCTTGGACGGACGGCTCAGACGGACTGACGACTCGGACGCACAGATGGACGGACGGCTTGCTCAGACAGACGGCTCGGACGGCTTAGACGCACGGATGGATGGACGGACGGCTGGCTCGAACGGACGGCTCGCTTGAACGGACGGCTTGGACGGACGGCTCGCTCAGATGGACGGCTCGGAACGGACGGCTCGCTCGGATAGACGGCTCGGACAGACGGCTGGCTTGAACGGACGGCTTGGACGGACGGCTCGCTTGGATAGACGGCTCGCTCAGATGGCCGGCTCGAACGGCTCGCTCAGATGGACGGCTCGGACGGATGGACGGCTCGGACGGACGGGACAGACGGACGGCTCGCTCAGATGGACGGCTCGGACGGGACGGCTGGCTGGCTCGAACGGCTCGCTCGATGGACGGCTCAGACGGACGGGACAGACGGACGGCTCGCTCAGATGGACGGCTCGGACGGCTCGCTCAGACGGACAGCTCGGACGGACGGGACAGACGGACGGCTCGGACGGGACGGACGGCTCGGACGGAAGGCTCGGATGGACGGCTCGGACGGGACGGACGGCTCGGACGGACAGACGGACGGCTCGGACGGGACGGCTGGCTCGAACGGCTCGCTCAGATGGACGGCTCGGACGGACGGGACAGACGGACGGCTCGGACGGGACAGACGGCTCGGACGGACAGACGGACGGTTTGGACGGACGGACGGCTCGGACGTCACATTAAAAGATCACATTCAGTAACAAAAGTTAGTATAGACCATTAAAACAAAAGACTACATTTTAGCCAACGGCTTGCAGTTTCCACGTCCCTTAAACTAGTTAGGGACAATTGAAACTGCAAGCCATTGGATAAAATGTAGTCTTTTGTGTTGTAATGGTCTCTACTAGCACCCGCAGGCGTCTGTCCTGAAGGAATGCGGCTTAGCTGGAGGACAATAAAAAGCCAAAAAGAAAACAATGCAAAAGGTTTGTGCAGGTGGTGGTGACAGCCAGGGGGGATGGCCTTGAGCAGGGAAGGGCTGACGGAGACCCAGCCCACAGTCAGGACTGCATCCCACGGCGGCGGCGCAGAATGAAGTAGCCATGGAGTGAAGAGTCCCAACACTACCAAGGGGATTACCGGAGGTGATGGAGGTGGAGCACACCACATAGCCAGAGAAGCGATAAGGCAGTGAGACACAAAGACCCAGGCGACCGCAACCTTCAGCACCAAATCTCCATCTACCCGAGGAGCCTGTAGAGAACTTCAGTTAACATACAAGAATCCAAGACAAAAACAACCACACCCATCTAATGACAGACCTGGAAACAAAAGCAGAGGGAAAACCCCAACCAATCTCTTGGGGTTTCAGAGGAGTTATGCATAATTTGGAGTCAGATCCAGACTCAATCACCGCAGGGAAATTCACCATGAATAACCTGTGGGGGAAAAAAACAAAAAAACACAGGACCATCATCCATTTGATCACTGGCAAACAAACCAAGAGTAGTAATGGTGTCGAAGGAAAGCTTCAATGGTTCACAAAGCTTATTTTCACCATCTATAAAGTTTAATAAACAACTCCAACATAAAAACAGAATGCTTCTGTTCACTTCAAAGCCTAATGGTACTGACCTGGTTCTTTAAGTCCATCAACAGCAAAGAGAAAAAGGGTGAAAATGAGCTTCTTCCAAACACAAATCTCCCTCACAGCCATGAGGACAGATCAGCCAAGACTAACCCTTATCAAGCCACTCTTCAGACTCTAATATATCAGGAACGCACTCATCTCGTTAATTCAATTAATTAACCACCACCTGGCAGTAATTAATGTTATCAGTTGATTAGGAGTTCCAACTGGCATTGATTTGAGGTTAGCGGACGAATTTTCTAGTTGCCATATCAACGCTATAGAATTTTTAAAATATATAGCCTATGTATTGAAGATATTACTGAACATTTATTTAACCATAGCAAAAGTAAGTGTTAATTTTAAACAAGTCTGATATTATTTTTTATCTTATATCTGTTAATTAACAGTTGAGACAGTTCTTGAATGCTGGTGTGACAGCAGAAGACAGACTAGTCGGGTTAAAATCCTATATTTAAGAGAATTTGTCCCAGTTGTGCAGGCGGGGCATGTTGTCACGCTGCGTTGCAATGAGCAAATGATTAGAATTATTGCTTTTCTACTCTATACTTGTATGAACTCTATTGAGAAACCATGAGAAAGGGGTGAATATAATTCTGAGATTCAATGTTCAGAAATTATTAATAGAGGGTAGAGAACGAGACACCGCAAACACACAGCCCAAACACAAGGCCATGTGCCTGCACACAAAACATGATCCTGGCTCAAGAGTAGGACAAGAGGGCAGAATCATGACACATACATAAGTTAAATTAATACATTATGTGCAAATAATTCGCACACCTATAAAATCACCTCAATTGAGAATTGAGTTTTAAACAGTCACCGCCAATGAAACAAATGATCTCTTATAAATATTCCTCTTGGCGAGTCTGGGTTAGGGTTATACTGCGCCCCGAAGGAAGGATCTCGAAGCAGGTATGGAGGGGATGAGTCTGGTCTGAGTATATTGATGATGCCCTTTTCTCCAAAAAAATTGTGAATAGCTCTTGTAATGTGCTCTGTAGCCTCTGTTTTTGGCCGATGATCTTATTTGCTTCAATGATTACTCGTGTTAGTTTATTCTTCTGTTTCACTGTACAATGAAACAATATTATAAGTTAAAACACTTTCAATCATTGATCTATAAACAATGGTTAAGATCCTCCTTTCAATGTCAAAATTTCTTATCTTCCTTAGTAGACTTGTCTAGTTGTCTAGTTTTCTTATGTAGCCCATAAAATCAATGATTGTACCTAGGTATTTTGCTCTATCTTTACGCCTTTTAACATTATTCCAATATATTCCTATTTAACACAGATGTCATTTGCTAATTACATAAACTATAAGCTCAATTCATAAGTATAAATATATATTTAGAACATGTATATATATATATATATTTGTATGGTCCTCGAATGTGTTTGAATATTTCACCATTATCAGCCTTTTCACCGTTTGTATCACTCCGCCTGTCTGTGTTTGCCCAACTTGCATTATTTAGCCAGTAGGTGGCGACAAGTGACTGTCTTTGTGAGTGCACAATTGAACTTTAACTTAACAGATTAGTGCCAAAAATATTGATTAGCTAACCTTAGAAAGAAACTAGTTGCTGAAACCAATTTTTAATGCTAATATATAAATTGCTCTTTTTACTCTGGACACAAAAAGATTGCACTGGTGTTTGATTGAAAATAACATCCATGTAAAATTGAAAGATTTCTCATTAAGGGCATTCCTGTTTGGAGTATGTGATTGTGTATTGTCAACAATAAGCAGAAACATTCTGCATTTGCATCAAAGCGTGGATCATTCATTTCAACATCCTCATTCTCATATTTGAGAATCTGTAATTTTGTATGCTTTACCCACTGACATGCTTTTAAAGCTATTGTTATACCATTTTTATGACCTTCAAACACCTTAAAATGCACAAATGTAGGTCTGAGAAATCCACATTTTTTGCATGTGTGTGACTGTGTGGTAATGTGGGCTGGTAAGTAGGCTAATGATGATTCGGGTTCAGCCCCTGATGTTTTTAAAACCTAGAAACGCCCCCGTGTTTGATATTCCATCATGTAAGCAAAGTCAACAGTGATTACAAGGTTTCATTTCTTTATTGATGACTGGTCCATTCTTGAGCGATGGATTTGCTTCTCTTGATCTGAAGTTTAGGCTGCATCCGAAAAAGTACTTTTGAGAAAGTACTTTGAATTGCGACTATGTTATATGTAGTATAAAATGTGTACTATGGATGTAATCCGGACATATTTATGAGTATTGGGTAAAATATATATATAAAAACATTAATATATATATATATAATAAAAATAAAGAAAAATTATTAGATTTACTATAATCTACCATAATAAAAATATAATCAAAATATAGATATTAAAGAATTTAAGAAACACCTACTATATGTGTTTTCGGATGCAGCCATCGTCTTTCCGACATTTCCGAACTTTAATAATTTTCCACTTAAGTTCACTGAGAGATCGGACAGGACGGGATTCAGGGAGCTGGTTTATTTCATTGCTTCTGGGAGGGTAAACAGACACAGTGATTGAACTGCATTAACAGAAGTACAGGACTTAAACCTGGATATGACAACAGAATCATCTCAGCTCACCAACAAACTACCCGTGTTCGTTCCACGCAAGATTACGACTGAATCACACACACACACATTCAGCTGGGAATAATAAAGCTAATGCACATGTACTCCAGATTGTTTCTATGCTTCTAAAAGAAAAGGAGTTTAGGTCTAAAGGATGACTAATAAGAGAGAGGAGACAGGTCCAGTCGTACCACTTGAATCATTAGCCTTAATTTTGTTTTATTTTGCTTCTTTAATCTTAGAAGCAAAATGCAATAATAGCGACACCATTATAGACCGTAACCTTCCCCCCTGCACACACACACACACACACACACATACCCATAAGACACAATCCAATAAAGGGCATTTGCACTATATCAAATCCAAATTAAACAAAATATGTCATCTCTAGAAAAATCTTCATTCTTGTATGCAAATGTGTTAAGAGCGGCTCCAGTCAGTGTCGCCGCGGTGGAGGAATTGCACTTGTGCATCAGCAGAACAGAGACCCTCGGCTCTACTCGGACTTGTTTTTGCGGGTGCGCTTGTATTTGTCCACGTATGCTTTCACCAGGTTGGCCACTTTGTCGGCATTCACCTCGCCGCTCTTGCTGTGGCACACCTGAGAGACAGAGCGAGACATTTGCTGGGGGCGTTTTTGAAGCCAACGTGTGCAAAATTCATAATTTCAATGCACAAGAATATGACTTCAAGGAAAAGATGCACTAAAATCAGACTGAATATGCAGAGGTGCTACAGTGATTTGTGCAAATTAGTGAATGACACTACAATAAACAAAAAAATAATATTACAAAAAATATAAAAAACAATATATAATAAAAAAATAAACCTCAGCAAATAATATAAAAAATGTAATATTTTTTTACTATAATTACCATAATAAAAATAAAATAAATCAAATAAATAATATAAAAAATAAATAAAATAAAAACAATATATAATAAAAAATAAACCTCAGCAAATAATATAAAAAAATTTATATTTTTTTTACTATAATTACCATAATAAAAATAAAATAAATAATATAAACAATATATAATATTATTTTAGAGTGATCTACTAGAAATTCTCAACTTACTTTTTCCACAGCTTTGCGTACAATCTCTTTATATTCCTCCTTGTTGATTTCGTTCTTCTGGTAATATGGCTTAATGGCCGCCTTCACCTCGTTGACGGCCCGCTCTTGGATCTGCAGCTTCTGCTTGAAAGGGGAACATGTAGTTTAGGAGGTGCAGCGCAGGATATGGACGTTAGCCTGAACATGAACTCTTGCCTTCTCTTTCTTTGAGCTGTCGGCGTGGGCCTTGCTGTGAGTGGGTTGGGTGGTGGAGGACGGCTGGGACGCGCTGACCGCCCCCATAGGATGAACTGGCCCTGCGACTACTTTGGTTGGCATGGGCTTGAAGGAAGCTTTGCCTTGTATAGAAAAACTGGGCATCACCTGCTGTAAAATATGGAGACGTTACAACCAAATCAACTAAAACTGCACTCAAATCTTGAGATTCACAATGTTGCCTAATTTGATTTAACCAGCACAATCAATGCATTTAAAAAAAATGTAGTTTTAGTTATGCCGAGTTTGACAATTCTGACTAGTCTGAAAACTACGTACTGTCTAGTACAACCAAACACAAGCGAGAAGTGATGAGGAAATAACGCTAGACTAGAATTGTTTTTAAAAATGATAGCCTGCAAGATCATTGCGATGTGTGCTGAAAAAAGATTATGGAGGAGAGACGAGGGCAGCGAGGTTTGTGTGTTCTGCAAAGAAAGTTGGGGTAAATAAATAATTATTCAATGTGCTGCTGGTCAAGAAAATGTCTGTGCTTTGTTTCTGTTCTATATAATTGTAAATACATATATTAAAATACTGATATTCTGGTCTTATAACTCATCCTGAACATCCCGCCCTCTCATTGGCTGTAGGTCATCGCTGATGTCATTGTCCAGACTGATCTCATGAAGTAGCGTGTGTATGATACGCCAATTCGTATTTCCATTTTTGGTGTGGCATCAACACGCATAATCGCTTTTCAGAGTGTTTATGAACGCCGTTGACTTAACGTTATATAAATATATGACTTACCTCAACCAGTCACTGGGGTTAATGGCATTTATGACTGTTCCCTTACCATCCTAGGAAAGAAAAGATCGCTCCCCAGATGTAGATCTAGTACACTTTGCTTCATTTCTTAAAATCTATTTAAGGCTATCCGCCCTTTGTCATACTGTGCATCAGACAGAGCGTATTTAGGCCACGCCCACACCGGGGAAAACAATCCAACCGTTTCCATTGACTCTGCGTCTGTAGATTTCTCATCAATTCAACAAAAGTTGACATTGTAAATCATCCCGATCTGCACCGTCATCACAGACATCGCTAGAAAGCTCGCGCTCTCTCTCTCTCTCTCCAGTTCAATGTTGTCTGATCCAAATATGGTCATTTCCTTTTAATCAGCAACCAATCGTCAAAGTAAAAGGGGGGCTTTAACTCTAAATGAGCAATCTCATTGGCCTGATGGAAATCTTTAGATCCCGTTCTGATGATTTTTCTCAAATCTCCACTTCTTCAGTAGCACCTACAGTATATACCAAACCTAATACTCCAAACTGTCCAGTCATGTACCTAGTTTTATTATGAAGACTATTACAGATGGATTTGTAAATATATTATTCCTAGCTTGATTTATATAACATTGTTTTTCTAAAAACATGGCAAAAATCTATTTAAGGCTATCTGATTACAGGATAACAAAAGTAGATACCCATTAAATATCTATTTTCCCCCGTCTATTACTGTATGTGAACACAATGAAAACAATATTTTAAACCTGGCTTTATCTTAATAGGCTATTCAGATTTCGCTTTTTTTTTTATATATATGCAAATTCGCACATATTTAATTAGACAATGCCTAATAATTTAAGACTTGAGACTTGACTTGGACTACACGCGGATAGCTCAAAATTCGTAAAGATATTGCCACTTGACTCGAAAGTGGCGTGTATGTTTACGCAAAAGTCATGATGTCAGCAGGATTTTGAATCGCAGACTGGTGCAGGTATTTAGCATGTCAAATATCTCATTAATAACGAGTTCACATTGCAGGATTTTAGGCCCGATTTTCATTTGCTAAATTTGCTACAAATGCCTGAAATCATAGGCCAATCGGTGCTCGTTCACGACAATCACACACAGTGAATTATCAAAGACGATGCGTATCGATGAGTCGCATTTGCCAATTATTTCGGGCATTTGTCACCAATTTAGCAAATGAAAAACTCGGTGTGAACTCGGCTTTAACAATATATTTGGCATGCTAAATATGCGATTCAAAATCCTGCTGTGCCAAATATCTCGCGGGCTCATCGGGCCATTCTCTCAGATCCAGTCTTTGATTCACAGTGAGCGAATGTCGTGAAATATGATTTCAGGCATTTGTCTGCAATTTCGCATATGAAAATCGGGCCTCGGCTTTAACGACTCTAACCCTGGTGCTCACCTGAGATGGGTGGCTTTCAGGCGGCACTATGGTGAAGCCGGCCTGCACTGGCGGAGGAGGCGGAGGGGGCGGAGGCAGTCCCTGCACGGCTATGGATGGGACCTGGAGGAGCGGGCCGGCGGGGTGCAGCTGTACTGGTCCTGGAGGGGGTAAACTGAACTGAGGAGGCTGCAGACCCACAGCTGGAGGTCTCGGCAGAAGAGGAGCCATGGGGTAACGCATGACCCCCATCACGCCCAGCTGATGGGGCATCAGGGTGGGGGGTGGAGCTGGAACGGCCTCGGCTGGCAGGGGTGCATTTGGCTCATTCTGTGGGGGATCTGAAACATAGAAAACGGACATGAATGTAAATGTGGCCAAATCATATTAAAGGGGAAATTCACCACTGGAAAGATGGGCTTTTAATTAAAGGAACAGTTCACTTACTGACTTACATTAACCAGACAGTTGATCCATTGACTTCCAATATTTGTTTTCCTACGACGGAAGTCCATCAACTGTCTGGTTACCAACATTCTTCAAAATATCTTTTGTGTTCAGCAGAAGAAAAATTCATTCAGGTTTGAAACGACTTGAGGGTGAGTAAATAATGATGAAAATTTCATTTTAAAGTGAACTGTTCCTTTAAACTTGACTGTCTATAGCCCCTTTCATATTGCCAGAACGCCTGTGTGAACGCAAACACGACCCGGGATCGTAATAGAAATGTGTGCTACACGACTAGAGAAATTAAGAGCTTAATAACACTCATAATGCACTTTTGAAAATCAGCATATTTATGCTTTAAGGATATTCACAGTGATTCATAAATGATAAATGTTTTAATTGGAATGAACTACGCCTCGGTGGGGGCGCTCATGAACGGGGCGTTCTTTTTAAACAAATAATTAAATCGTCAAAGTTTTATGATTTCAATGGATTAGACATGCTTATTGATTGTAGAGCCCGACCGATAAAGGATTTTGATGGATTTTGATTTGGTTTTAAAATCCGATATTCCGATATATCGGCCGATATTTTTTACATTTTTTTTTTATTTCAGAAACGCGCAACAAAACATTAACAGATTTCCCTAACATTACTTATTTGTAGTTACTTATGAGTTTTAACTAAAATAATATGATGATGCATTTTAAAAAGAAACTCGTTTCTTTTATTGTCACAACAGAACAGAGGAACATCAAAATATATTAAAGTTCTGATATTAGTCCTACATTGGCTTATAAGCCACCTGCAACCTGGATCAGCAGGATGTGTGGCGCGTTATACACGAGTGTTGCCAACAGGAACGGTGTAGAGCGCCCTCTGGTGGACAAACTATACAACTCCAACACTCGTGACATGGTTCAAGTGCGTTTCGTCCGTTTTTATTTTATTTTTGAAATATTCATTTATCGGCCATTAAATCTGCCGATACCGATAGTTTGGAAAATGCCTAATATCGGCTGATAATATCGGTCTGCCGATATATCGGTCTGGCTCTTGATTGCTACGGTTTAAATGTAACCATTAAAAGGGAAGGGAAAGGGAAATATTTATTTGAGTAAACAGATTTAAAAAAAAAACAGATTTTATAGGGCCCTAAAAATGTAATTTTACACCTTTGTTAGATGTTTCATGATTTCAACAACTTAGACATGCTTGCTGATTACTAAAGTTAAAATGGGAAAAATAGAATAAGTGGAAACTAGAAGCTAAAGCATGTGACCCAAACTTGAGAGAGCCAGAATCCCGATCAATTCACACAGAAAAAATAAAGCTGATTTCATAGGGCCCAACATCTATTATCAGAGACTGAAAGTACATTTCCATTCAGCAAATCGGCTGATTGTTACGCATTGGCGTACTTACAAATACTATGTGAAAAACACGCGTGTTGTGTTGGTAAAAACAAGCCATTATTTGTATAAAGATGAAGACAGACCTGCTTGTTTTGGGACACCCGGTGCACCTTGATCCTCCTCTTGTCTGCTCCAGGAATTGTTTCCGCCGCCTCGGTCCCTGCGCGAGTAGTAGTTCTGCACATCGGCGGGAAGAGTTCGCCGCACGGCCCAGCTCGACGCCGACGACCACCCCGACCGATCCATCGCCGTCTCGCCACCATCACACTCTTTTCTCTTTCCTCCGGCCCTGTTTTCGTTGAAGCGGCTGTAAGAATCCGTGTTATTGGCGGTCCCTGAGAAAGAGGTGCGCTGCCTCCAATTATCAGCTGGCTCGCTCTGCTGGCTGGCCGACCAGTTTGAACCTCCTCTCCCGCGTCCAGCGCTCCAGCCCCCCCGACACCAGGAATCAGAAGGCGGATCTCCCAAACGTGGCTCACGCCCTCGAACGTCAGCGTCCGGGTAGAGCCTCTCCCTGTCTTTAACCCAGTCCGGGTTCTCGCTTCTGCTCCGATCAGGCGACGCCTCGTTGAAGTTGCCGTTGTCCGATGAAACGTGCTCTCTCGTTGACGAATTCCCAGGTTTTTCCGCGTTGTTCCTCCAGTTTGAATTGCGGAAACCTCGTCCAGCGCCTGTGCTCCGCCATCCATCCGTTCCCCAAGACTCCCGCTTGCGAGGAGAGTGTCCGCCGTGATCCGAGCGTTCCTGGGACGGGCTCTGGCGTCCGCCTCGGTTTCTGTTTCGGGAACGGCTACGTCGCCTGTGACTTCGCTCCCGGCTGCGACTACGGCTTCGGTTCCGCCGGCCTTCCCGCTCTTCCTCTTGCTGCTCGCGGCTCCGAGATGTGGATCGGGTCTTGTGGCTACGGTCCCGTGATCGAGACCTTGACCTGCGTGACCCTTCACTCTTAGACTCCTTGGCAGGCGACCAAGTGGTCGTAGGCGAGTGAAAGCGAGACCTGCGGGATCGCCCATCCCGGTCCCTCTTGTCCGATCCTTTCGCTTCCTTACAGCCGTCAGTCTTGGGCTTTTGATCGGCAGTCTGAGCCACGTTCGCAGTGGGATTTGTTTCAGCTGCACTCTCGGATGCAGGAGAATCGCACTCCATGGGAATGAGGTCAGTGTTGTCCTGAGGACTTGCATTAGTGTCCTTAGTTTCTGGAATAGCTATCTCTCCAAGTGCTGACGGACCTGCACTCTGATCCTCTTGGAAAGTACTGGATTCCTGCTTGCCTGCTTTGTCTTCTGTGGTGTCAGGCTCCGGTTTTTGATCCGCAATCTCTTGGAGAGCTGGAAAGTTTCTCGATTCCTCCTTGTCTGCATTGTCTTCTGTGGTATCCGGCTCCGGTTTTTGATCCGCAAACTCTTGGAGAGCTGGAAAGCTACTGGATTCTTGCTTGCCTGCTTTGTCTTCAGTGGTATCCGCCTCCGAATTCAGATCTACAGTATCTTGGAGAGCTGGAAAGCCACTCGATTCCTGCTGGTCAGAATTGTCTTCAGTGGTATCCGCCTCCGAATTCAGGTGGAAAGGTGGAGAGCAACTGGATTCCTGCTTGTCGGATTGGTCTTCCTCTGTGTCAAGCTCCAGTTTCTCATCCACAATCTGGTCAGGAGTTACTGTCGGTGGTTCCTCTGTTGATTCCTCTTGCAGAGGTGATTGAACGTCAGATTGAGACTCTTCCGGTTCAGCAGAGGAACGAGATTGGCAATTGTCCTCCACTATTGGTGGAACACTCTCCAATTCAACTTGGTCTGAATCATCCATCTCCACTTCTTTCTCGCTATCGTCTCGTGAAAGTATCTGATCTTCATCTTGAACCATACTCTCAGTTGCAATTTCTTCTACTTTTACCGTTTCATCATCCTGGTTATTGGCCTCAGTAGGACTCGTCTCATTCTCCACCTCCATCTTGTCCTCCGTATCCAGTTGTTCTTGGTCGCGATCAATCTGATCAGGACTTGCTTTCTGGTCTGTTTTCGGTTCCTCAGATTCCTCATCTTCCTCATGATTCCCAACCTCCTCATCTTCATGTCTCTCCACGATCTTCTTTTTTCCACGTCCTTTCCTCTTGGCTCCAGACCTCGGGTTGTTCCCCTGCTGCCCTCTGCTCGTAGAAGCAGGAGTGTCGTTTATGGTTTGTGGCGTAGAAGAGGTTGTGTCCGAGTCTGTCGGTTGCGACTGCGCAGATGAGGAATCCTCAGCGCGACTGTGACGAGAGGAACGTCTGGTCGCGGTAGTTTCTGGCTTCACAGAGGTCTTTGACCCAGAACCCCTGGTTCCCTTTCTCTCCTCACCTTTGGGACAGGTGACGGCACAAACTATGCCATGAGGAACTAAGAAAAAGGAGATAAAATAAGTGTTAAAAGTAATGAAAATAACTGAGGGAAGAAATATAAGGAACTGAAAATAAACCCAGCCACAAAACCATTTACGTTTACATTTTGATAGAATAAAACTTTTACTATTATAATTATGGACGCTTTATAACCCACCTGAGATATTTAAGAGTGTTAATAATTTTTTAAGAACACTATTTAGCACTAGGGGTGTTGAAATTAATCGTATCGGTTCAGTTATAGACCAATACCGATTATAATTTACCGACACATTTCTGATGTCATTTGTAGCGCGTGTGCTTTGTCACGGTAGCATACAATGGCAGAGGGAGGCGAGACATGAGTGCGAGTAATTAAAAATGCTCCAATTACTTTAACCCTCAGGTGCTCTTCGTTTCAGAGTCACCCACGGTCAAAAGTGACCGGACACCTAAAAATTAAATTTCCTCCATCCCAGTAAAACCAATGCAATTTACTTTTGTTCTATAATATTTATTCTTTGTAATTTAGTATTTTGAGACAATTTGATTGAATTTATTAATATTTATGCAATATTTATGGTCCATTTTTGACATGGAAAAATATATATATATATTTTTCTATATATATATTATTTTTTTCAAAAAATTATTAATGCAGTATTTTAGTTTAATATAGAGTCTAGGCCTTCAGAAAAAAATTTATTTTTTGAAGAAAATTAGCACCATCTGGTTATAGTATAGAGAAAAGGCGTAGAATCATGGTGTAACCACTAGATGGCATGTACAGCTCTCTATGGAGAAGCATGTGAATTCCCCAGCTGTTTATGAACCTTTTTTTTTTTTTGGTGGATTTGAACATATAGTTGAAACAATCTCAAAAACAATTTTTTATTTTAAAAAAATGGAAAAAAAAATGGATAAAAATTAAATAAATAAAAATTTGTGAATTTTTGTGTTTTTGTCAATTTCCCATTCATTATTGACCAAAGACCACAAGTGTGACTATTTTTTTAAGACCACTTAGCATCCTCGGATCATTACCTCAATTTTTTTGTGTGTTCAGTTTCGTAACACTCCGATGAAGCTGTGATTTTTAATAATTCAAAACATACTTTTTGTAATCAAAATTTATTGGTGTGTATGTCTATAAAAGTGTGTTTGTATGTATGTGTGGGTGGGTGGGTTTGTTTGTTTTGCACTCTAGATGTTGTAGAGTGTCACCCCTTTCCTGCGGTGTAATTTTTTTTAGAATTGAGGCTGATTTGTAGATTGCACGTACAAAAATTCAGAGAATTTTTTTTTTTTGGGGCAATTTCCCATTCATTTCCTATGGGTCGGTCATTTTTGACCGAAGACCACAAGTGTAACTATTTTTTTTATGACCACTTAGCATGCTCAGATCATGACCTCAATTATTTTTTTTTTATTCACATACCCAATGCCATAAAAGTCACCAAGTTTCATAACATTCCGATGAAGCTGTGATTTTTAATAATTCAAAACAGAAAATTTTTCAGTCAGAAATGACCGAAGAGCACCTGAGGGTTAAAAGCCTACACCTGGGCACATGACATTTGATAACAATGAAATGGCAAATTAACGCAAATCAAATAAACTAAGTTGTACGTCAAATTGAAAGGAAAAATAAATACATTTCAAAATAATAACCAGATTATTACGCATGTACGCAACTAACAAACAAGTGAACTCACCCGTGTGTTCAGAAAGCAGCAGATTCAGAGAGGAGGAGACCGCTGACAGAAGCAGATGTGAGTGGAGTAACACCCTAAAAGTATAAACAAGTGTTCATAACCCAAAATAAGAGACATGCACACAAAGGAAATAGCAGATAAAGGGTACAAATATTATATTTCAGATGTTCATTCACACCCATAGACTGAGTACTATAATAGGCACTTGTATGTAATTTCAATAACAAAAGCTGAATCAGAATAAAGTTGAACTACCCTAGTAAACAGGAAGAGATCATCTTAACGTCATGCGTGCAACGAGATTCGAACAGGCCGTTTGACAGTGTTTGAGTGCACTGCTCATCAGACCGCTTCTCACCTGGGCACACCTGTAGAGAGGACAGGTACAGAGGCAGAAAGCCATCTGCGTTTTCTCTCTAATCTCCTCCACTGAACGCCGTCCGGCCCCTCCTCGCAAACATCAACAGATCCCGCCCTACAGCGCAAGACACACAAGACAAACAAAACACTTTAACCTTTTACACAGTCTTGATGTTTCCAGTCTCTACTATAACAGGTTTTCCTCATTGAATGTTCACTGTTTTTCAAAATCACACTTTTTTCATAGTTTGGCTGGGTCAGGTGTGACTTATACAGGGATGCGAATAAGTTTGGACACCCATGCTAAAGTTGCCTAAAAAAGAGGAATAAAAAATCATCTTTTCGATGTTGATCTTAATGCCTTAATTAGAAAAATGAGGAAAACTCCAACCTTTAAGGACACCAATTTTCTTTGTAAATGAATAATGTATCATAAATAAATAAATGTTTTTCCTTAAATACAGGGTGCATAAGTCAGGACAATTCCCATAGAGTCCGGCAGATTTTTATGTTTAAAAGCCGGTTATTTCATGGATCCAGGATAATATGCATCCTGATAAAGTTCCCTTGGCCTTTGGGATTAAAATATCCCCACATCATCACACACCTTCCACCACACCTAGAGATTGGCATGCTTTTACTTCAGTTAGCCTAATAGCTGGTTTGATTTGCATTGAAAGATGATCTTATGGAAAGTACCCTAGGCATGGTGAAGGTGTGTGATGATGTGGGGATATTTTAATCCCAAAGGCCAAGGGAACTTTATCAGGATGCATATTATCCTGGATCCATGAAATAACTGGCTTTTAAACATAAAAATCTGCCTGACTCTATGGGAATTGTCCTGACTTATGCACCCTGTATTTTAAGGAAAAACATTTATTTATTTACGACACATTATTCATTCACAAAGAAAATTGGTGTCCTTAAAGGTTGGAGTTTTCCTCATTTTTCTAATTAAGGCATTAAGATTAATATCCAAAAGATGATTTTTTATTCCTCTTTTTAGGCAACTTTAGCATGGGTGTCCAAACTTACTCACATCACTGTATGACAAAATTAATTCAGACTGAGATGAACCAAGAGAAAACAGTCCAGCGAGAGGGCGCTCTAGTTGTTCAGACGCGACACCGAGATGAAGAACTCAATGGATTCAGAGATGTGGCTCGGTGAACTTGCTAGTTGGACTCGCTGGTTTATGTTATTTTAGCCTATTCAGCCTGTCAGGTTTATGTTCTTCATGCTACTGTGGAGCTGAATGACTGTTTCACCTCTTCAGCCTGTTGCTCAGTGTGCTATTGTGTAGTTGAATAACTTGCCTTTCCAGATTAAATGTCTGTTCTTGGTCTGTTTGTGCCATAAAATTTCTAAATAAATGCGACTTATATGTTTTTTTTCCTCTTCATGACGAATTTTATCGACTTATAGTCTGGAAAATAGCGTATATGTGGGTGATTCTCACGAAACCATTAAAACACCACGGCACCAAGGATTTTAAATATTAACCTTGTTATTTGGTAATATAAAAAAACATCACAATAAAGACAATACTGATCTCTACCTTGCACAATGTGCAATTTCATCATGGGGATAATTTTATTTTCTATTTTAATGCATTTTCTGTGAAAATTCTCATTACCGAAATGCGTCCAACTAAATTGAATGTATGTTATGTTGTAATTTAAACAAATTAAAATAAAAAAAACAGAAAAAGCAGACTAGATTATTTCAAACTAGATTATTTCAGATGACAGAAAAATAATTTACTGAATATTCATGTATAATAATAATGTAAAAAAGTAGGAAAATGATGCGTCCATGACTGCGGTTCTCATCCTCCGAAACATTTTTGAGGACTGTTAAAACGCACATTCAGGATTTAAATAAAGTTTGATTTTGAATGAAGAAGCACATGGGCCAGTTCCCTCAAGATGGCTACCAGGTAAGAAGACCTCTTTATATTTCTCCAATTAAATGTAAAATATTCACTTGTCAGAATGGGTACACAACATTTTGATTCTCATTACCGAAACAAGTAGTTTTCTACATTTAAAAAATTGTTAGATTTACAATTTTTTATAAAATTGTACTTCATTAATGTCTAATTATATACACTGAGTAAAAGATTAGCAAAGTCATCATGGATTCTCTATTGTTAGCAAAACATACCAAGGCACCTCATCCTCCGAAACACCATTCTCATACACCGCAACCATTTAAGACCAGTTGCGGTGGAGAGAACTTCTGTTTCGGAAATGAGAATTCAATAATTTTGTGTTACTTTTAAATATACCTTATGAATTTAAATATTTTTCTAACAGTTGGTTGTTTTGCTTCATGATTTGTTTCATTGTAGGCAGTCAGCAAGTGAGAAAAAAAAAGATTTAGCTAAGGCCAGGTTGAAAAAGTTCAGAGAAAAATTATACAGCAACCCAGAACTGCTCGAGGAGTACCGAAGGAAGGAGAGAGAGAGGTTAGGTTTGGAGATTTTGATAGTGTAATCAGCAATAAACCCTCTACAGTGTTAGGAAATGTACATGAGCACGCACGCACACACACACACACACACAAACACACAGCCTTTTAGCCACTACTATACTGCCCTACAAAGGCAAAGTGCAGTAACTACGCAAACAAAGAAACAGAGAAAAAGCCCTTTAAAGTTTTTAAACCAGCCAGTCAAACATGTTACGTAGATTATGTGGTAATGCAGCTCCGAAACGGGACATAATTTAACCCAGATATTTTTTCACAAGATAGAACACATGTCATAAAGCCCATTACAACTAATTTCTGACCAAATGTGTAGTTACTGCGCTTTGCCTTTGTAGGGCAGTATAACATGGCTATATAAATAAATAAATCTGCAGCATTCTGTCATTTATATAAATACAACATTTAATAAAAACTTTTAATTATATTATTATTATATATATTATTATTAATTATATTATTTTAATTTAATTATAGTTAGATGGTAAATTATAGTTAGATGGTAAATGATAAACTTCTGTTAGATCTACCTGAAAAACTTAAAGGACTCTTTATTTCAGTTGTATCTTCATTCTATTGTATTTATTTGTGCTTCTGTTTAATTTTTTTTTTTTTATTATTGTTGTTGTTGTTTTTTTATTATTTGTAAATTCAGTACAAAGAAATTAAGCTCCACCCTACAAGTTTGGGCCCTATAGACACACACACACACACACACACACACAGTAAGCATTAAGTATAGTGTAGGATGATGTGTACATAAAAGTTATTTTTCTTCCCCATGTTGTGAGACTTGCTTATTTAATGTCTTGCTTTCCGCTTCCAGATATCAAAAACGAAAACAAACCGGCAAAATAAAGAAAACTGAAGAACTGACTAAAAAGCAACATGAAAAGAAAAAAAGACAATGGCGGGAGAACTCAAAGTGTTATTATAAAAGAAAGAAACAGCTTAAAGCTGTACTAGACACAACACCATCTAGTGAGGAAGATGATTCACTTCAGCTAATTCAAGAAGCAAATGAAGTTCAAGACAATCTTCAAGAAGCCGCCTCAGAAGAACAGCCTTACTTGTCTCAGCAGGTAAATGTCCCAAGTAAAAAAAAAAAGAACAATTTCCAATTTTGTCAAATAAATTCTATTTCGAAGGTTGACTGATGTATGTGAAACATATTTTTTTATATAATGTTAATGCAACTGAATAATTCTACTTAGTTGTAATTACAAAGCATACACTATTCTCAAAAAATTTAAAGCTGTCTTTTGAATTGTCAACTTGTGATTTGTTAACAGTGTAATTCCATCAGCTCAACTCCTAAAAAAAATGAGATTTCTATACAGACACCAAGACAAATAAATACATCTACCCCAGAAGAATCACCCAGATCGAAGAGAAGAAAAAAAATACTATCAAAATTGGGTGTAAAGTTGCGCCACACAGAAAAGAAGCTTCTGGACAGAACTAAAGAAATTGTAAACCTAAAGAGAAGACTGAGAAGACTTGAGAAGAGGGAGAAAAAGCCGGTACTTGTGAACATGGAAGGCAGAGAGGTCCATAAAAAGACTAGAAAGAGAGGTCACCAGGAAATATTACCCAACAGCCAGAGAAGATTCATGCGCAGAATTGTTAGTCACTTCTTTCACAAAGACGAAGTATCAACTGTAATAAATGGCAAATCCGGTGAAATTCGGAAAAAAGGACAGATATTCCGCAAGAGAGCCTTGACAGACAAAATGGAAAATCTTCATAGACGATTTTTGTCCGAGAATCCCAGGCACAAACTTTCCATGTCTCAGTTCTGTAAACTTAAGCCATTTTGGATTGTCCACCGAAGAGTCAAAGACAGAGAAACATGTGCGTGTAAAACACATGAAAATTTTGGCCTGAAGATAAAAAAGCTGCACCAGCTAGGATTAATAGCCACATCTTCTCCAAATGACATTGTGCAGGCAAGTGTGTGTAGTGACAATGACATGTCCTGCATGTACAGGACATGCAGCAATTGCAAGTATAAGAAAATTCCCACAACACTGGATCCTTCACTGAAAGGGAACATCATAATATGGGAGGAGTGGGTTACAAAATCTGTACCAAGAAGAGGTGCAGATGGGTCCACTGAAGAGAAGGAAGTGAGGAATGTTTTTCTTGAGAAGAGACATACCTCCATCGAAAAGCTTGTAGAACTGACACAGGACCACCTCTCTAACTTCTCAAGACACATCTACAATATCAAGCATCAGTATGAAAGAATAAGAAAATTGAGAGAGTCCCTTAGCCAGAATGACGTAGTAGTTCATATCGACTACAGTGAGAACTACGCTTGTAAATATACCAGAGAAATAAAAGAAACTCACTTTGGAGGTGGCAACCAGCAGGTAACCCTCCATACTGGAGTTATTTATCTCAGTGGGGAGAAAGTGCAGTCCTTTGCATCACTTTCAGCCTGTCTTCAGCACAATGCCATAGCAACATGGGCTCACCTTGACCCGGTACTGAGGAGCATACGAGAGGAACATCCAAATGCAAGGAACATCCACTTCATTTCAGATGGGCCCACATCTCAGTACCGGAACAAAACAAACTTTTATTTAGCTTCGACAGTGCCATTTATGCGAGGATTTAAACATGTGACATGGAATTTCACAGAGGCGTCCCATGGAAAGGGTGCTCCTGATGGAGTGGGTGGTGCCTTGAAAAACCTGGCTGACAGAATTGTGTCCTATGGTACCAGCATACCAGATGCTGATACTCTTTTTGAGCAGCTAAACCTGAATTCATCTGTAAGGCTCTTTAAGATAACGGAGGAAGATGTAAAAAAAAGTGCTGAGTTAGTACTACCAGATCTAAAGACAGTACCTGGGACAATGAGAGTTCATCAGGTGAGTAAACATATTGAACAACATTTTCAAACAAAATTCAAACAGGCTAAAGGCTTCATATCATTCTTAAAAAGAGAAAAATATATATTTTTATGTTGGGTTGCTGGATGAAATATCCTTAATACTGTAAATAGGAGAACTAAAGTAAACTGAGTACTGAAATGGAATTAATGCATGGATGCAACTAAAAAGAAAGTTATTTGGCTTAATTGAGGTAATCTGCAAATTCTAAAAGAGAGATGTTTAAGTTTAAAATATATGTTAAACATACACATTGTCATTTGATATTAGTATGTCTATGTAACATCTGAGTTTTAATCCATCTAAAATTAGTCTTTTCTCCTTAAGCTAACATCAACAAAACCAGGCCTTATCAACACCAGAGAAGTGTCCTGCTTTTGTGAATTGGCCTGTGGCTGTTTCAGTCCAAAAGAGTTTGACTTCCGAAACAATGTGGACCCAGAAAGCGAGAATGCAGAGTCTGTTCTGGAAGTAGGAAAGTGGGTCCTTGTACAGTATGATGGAGAACTGTTCCCTGGCACAATCACACAGGTATAAAGACATATTTGGTGGTATGTGGTTTTGTTGAAAGGATGAAACATCCTTTTTAAATCCTTTTTATTTATTTTTACCATCTAGATTGTAGATGGTCAATATGAGGTGGACACAATGAGTTGTGCTGGACCAAACAAATTCTACGTTCCGTCCATAAAATATGAGGGAGAAAAAGTCTGGTACTACTTTGATGACATAAAAGCCATTATTCCAGAGCCTCAACCTGCAACATCCTCAGCTCGACACTTCTGTGTGTTGCCTGAGATCTGGGAAAAGTACAAAACTAAAGGTCTGTGAAAAGAGGGTAGCAAGTTGCATCCTACTTACGCCACAGCTATTTTTCAGAGCCATGTTAAATGTTCATGTTTTTAGGCACATGTTGATTCCTGTTTAATGTATTACATTTTTTTTATTGTTCTGTAGCAATTGAACTGTGTTGACACACCAATCCCCTCTTAAAGAGAGTCTGACTTTATTCATTTATGCACAGCATAACACACATTTTGCCTCTACGACTTCCTGTCTAATCCTTGAGGTCAAACATAGAGTACATGGCACAATTACATGTATGCAATGATTTTGCTTTTCCTTTTCTCCTTATCCTAAGAATTAGACAATTTATCCAATTAGCCTACCAAACCAAAAAAAGTAGGGCTGTGCAAAAGTTAATTGCGATTAATCGCATCCAAAATAAAAGTCTGTTTTACATAATATATTAGTGTGTGCTGTATATAATTATTTTGTATATATAAATACCTATGCATGCATGCACATATTTAAGAATTATTTGCTCTTAAATTCTGTATATATATATAAATACATAATCTATATTATATAAATATAAATATTTTATATAGGAATAACACATTCTCTTAAACATATACATGCATGTGTGTGTATTTATATATACAAAATAATTATATACAGCACACACAAATATATATGTAAACACAGACTTTTATTTTGGATGCGATTAATCGCAATTAACTTTTGCACAGCCCTAAAAAAAAGTGATTGTAATTCCAAAGCTCATGTTATGTAGTGGATGTTTGGATGTTATTTCATGTTTCTCCATATTTAAGAACAGCTATACTATTCCCTCTACATTCGTTAAATGACAGATTCTGTAAAAACTAACTTTTTATGTTTTTTGGCAATATTTTATCTATTCTGTGCAGCCAGGTGTATACATTGACAAATGTTTCCAACAGTAGGCATTGTAATGAAGAGGTTGAAGAATAAAGAGATTTTACGAATAATTTTTTTTTTACGAATTTTTGTATTTTTTTGTATTTTTTTTGTTTGTTGTTGTTGCCAATGTTATGTATTGAAGCACTACAAAATAAAACAGATTTGAAATTGAATCCATGATTTTGCATATATTATACATTTTTCTACATTAAATCTAGACATAGTAAACCTATTATCATTACCGAAATAATCAACCTCATTTCCAAAACCTAAGTTTCATTACCGCAACAGATGATTGTTAAATCTTAATTTAATTAATATAAAATTTGTAGTTTGATTTTAAATGCATGTACAGTATCTACACATTATGTTCTTTCAGGTTTGTCACATCATTTTGAAAATGTGTCAGGTTTCATTAAAATATATTTAAAAAAAGGTTGTAAATTGTGGAAGGTGTTGCGGTAATGAGATAAATTAAACAAAACATTTAAATAATACTAATTTAAAAATAAATATTATTTCAGATTTTTAAGTAACTGTGCATGACTGTTAATAATCCGTTTTTAAAAATGCGAAATTTTATTTTATTTTCTAACAGTGTTGATGTTTTCACACTGTTGCGGTAATGAGATTTTTTAGGACTTGTTTTGGAAATTATGCTCAAAAAGGTCTTAAATTGTAAGTAAATGTTTTTAAATTAATATTCACAAATTCTCCAGACTTTGTTTCTAATGTCTGATTTGTTTTTTTGTCAATTCAAGCATTTTTTAATTTTCATGTTTGAAATTTTTAAAACCAAGATTTCGTGAGAATCACCCACGTATTCTCCTACGAGCCTCTTTTCCTTTATTAAAAGACTGCGTATGAATTATTATAATGAGGAATATTGTGACGTGTTCCCGGAAGAAACTCAAGACTACAATGGAGGCGTTTCAGGAGTTCAGAAACACTGATCCTCATATTGAGGATACTTTGCAGAGCTTTTCATGCTTAAGGGTCAATTTAAGAGACACTATCCAGTCAACACAGAAACAGAAAGACACGTGATGTTCACTTACATGATCTGTGTCAGCGTGCCGAGCGTGGCTCCCCGTTGGCTTGGCAGTGACGAGTGAAAATGGCGAGTGAGCAGAAGAGACTGGCATGAGTCTCCACTCACCTGCACACATAAACACTGCTTAACACACTGCTTACACAAAAGAGGAACACAACAGTGCAATACTAACCTTTCGGTTTACCTCCACAGATGCATCCGAGTCACCTGACGGGAATCAAACAAGACATTTATTTTGGAAAGCTCTTGATTCGCTAAACGTTTATCAGTTCTGTTATATAGATAGAGCGTAACCAATCTGTGTGAAAAGCTCTTACACCTCAAACCACAGCTGCACGATTCTGGATAAATTGAGAATCATGTTTAGGATAGAGATGAATAAACATGTAATTTACTAGAAGTTCTGACAAAAAGGTTAATTGCTGCAGAACCTTTAATTCACTTGAATTAAAAAAATGTAAAACTCTGTGAGTGAATGATTCAATGACTCCTCTTGTTTCATTACTGGATAAAACATTTACGATGGAAATACGGGTAAATATATGTGCATATATGTGCACAACATGCATTACACATACCAATTATTTAAGATTCCACATTGACATTTATATTAATGTTAATTCACAATAATGCATTAATGTATTCTACAACCAGTTTATGTTTAATCAACAGAAATGTGTTGTATTAATTATACTTTGATCAATGGCAGTTGTTTTAAATGTGCTATAAAAAAAAAAAAGTATATATTGTATTGTAGCAGAAATAAGCAACTGATGAACAAGATATTGACGATGAATCGATATATAAGCACATACCTTTTCTGGGGCATTTCTGTTTGGCATTAGCTCTTTCATCTTGCGTTCTCTCCAGAGTTCCTGTCTCCGCCCTGTTAACGACACCATTAACTATTAAACGTGACCCTTGACCACGAGTCAGACGGGTGTGTTTGTGGCAATAGCCAACAATACACTGCCTAGGTCAAAATTATGGATTTTTCTTTAATGCCAAAAATCCTTAGGATATTAAGATCACGTTCCACGAAACTATTTTGTAAATTTCCATCCGTAAATATACATATAAAAAAATCCAGCAAAATCGTGAACATAATTGGACAACAATGTTTAAATTTTTTTGATTCCAGATTTTCAAATACATCTCCTATCATACATCACTGGAAAGCTTAGCCTATTTACTCAGCTCTCAGATGATGTATAAAGCTGGTTTTGTGGCCCATGATCACAAATGATCAGCAAAATGAACAAACTCGGCACTTACACACAGACACGACGCATGCGTAGACCGTCCGGACTGGTGCACGAGTTCAGCTCTGGCAGGCTGAGCGCCTTCACGGGAATCTGAAACACAGAGGAGAAGCTCGTCTGAGTCTGATCTGGAGTCTTACGGGGACACACAGGACATCAGGAGGACGTCTGACCTTGATGCACTGCTGCGACGAGCCCTGCAGGAAGATCACGCTGAAGGGTCTGCGGTCCACCGGGCAGGACTGAACCATCTGTGGCCCGACACACAACATCACACATTACAGTATGCAGATTACATATAAACACACACATACTGGTCAAACGTTTGGATTTCTGACTGCAAGAAAGTGGCTTATGCTCACAAAGGCTGCGTTTACTGGATCATACGGGGTAAGACACATGCCTTTGGTGTGAGAGACCCGGGTTCGAATCCACTGTGAGACACCAATGTGTCCCTGAGCAAGACACTTAACCCCTAGCGAGCGACCTCTGACATATATAGCAATTGTAAGTCGCTTTGGATAAAAAGTGTCAGCTAAATGAATAAATGTAAATTTAAAAAAAATATATTACAAATATAAAATTCGATTAAAATAAATAAAATACAAAAAATGTGTGATGCAAGTAAGTAAGCCTCCATGAGTGAATAAATAAATACAAAAATAATTAAAGCATCTAACAGTAAGGTACTATATAATGAGAAAATTTTGTAACTAATTTTTCACAGTATAATAAATAAAATTGGGATTCATTTTAAGGACTCTTAGATGAAAAAAGTTTAAAAGAACAGCATTTATTTAAAACAGAAAGCTTTTGTAAAATTATACGTTTTTACTGTTTAATGTGTCCTTGCTAAAATAAAAGTATTTCTATCTTCATACTTAGAAAACGATCTTTTTAATGTTATCACAGTAATCAGAAATGTTTCTTGAGCATCAATGATTTCTGAAGGAACGTGGCAGTGGAGTAATGATGATGCTGAAAATTCAGCTTTAATCACATTTTACAATATATAATTTACAATGTATTGTATATTAAATATATTGTATACAATATTGACATAGAAAACAGCTTCATTTTACTGTTTTTACCGCATTTAATTATCAAATAAATGCCTTGCTGAGAAAACATTACAAAAACCCAAACTTTTGACCAGTAGTGTTAGATACTGTTAGTTCAAAAATTGTATTTGTGTGTTTATAGATAGATAGATAGATAGAATGTGGAAGTGTTTTGATCGGTGTCAGCTGACCTGAGCCCAGCGGAGGATACAGGCTGAACAGTAGACGTGTCTGCAACAGTCGGGTACGGCTCGATCCGTACGTCTGGGACGGTTCAGACAGATCGGGCACCGCTGCTCCTCCTCATCCTCCAAACTGCCCTCTGAAAATCACAATAAGTTTTATTAAAGAGCTTTGACAAAATGTAACCACATAATTATACAGTAAAACATGCGATGCATAACAGTCAAATTCAACTACTCAGTCCTATGAGCCTTGTTCACTTTAATGTGTGTGTGAAGTCGATGTGCATGAAGACAGACACACTCACCCTTTCCTGGCCCCTCTTGCATCTTTGGCTCCGGGTCACAGCAGCTCTGAGCCCTGATTTACTGTACCACCACATGCAAGAAGAAACATAATAAAGAACAATTCAAATACATTAACATGGATATAACGAGTGCGTAACTCTGTCACTGTGTCTTTATTTGCTCTGTTTATTTACTCTCTCTCGCTCTGTCTCAGCACAGCTGAAGTTTGAGTAGTTCATTATCCGTCTTTAGACATAACAGAGGCCTTTAGAGCGTTTTATACTCTTTCAAATCCGTCTCATATTAATAATTCGTAAGAATAACACACCTAGACACACACAGAGATGTTTACATGTCCTGTTTATAAGTTCAGACTCTTGTTTATCAGTGTGACGCGGCTAGCTGTGTTAGCATCTGCTGTCATTAGCGCGCACTCACCTCCGCGCACGTCGCTCCACGGACTTCAGGTCATATACTAGCACGCAGAACGCTCCTTAGTACAAAAACATACACTTTTCTGGCACTTTCATGAGCACTTGCGCTCGTAATTGCGATAGATTTAAAGGCGCCCAGCCACATGTGGGTCAGAGGCTGCAGTTCCTCCTCTTCACCGCTGTGGGGCGCTGCTACGGGGCATGATGGGAGACTCGCTGCGTCATCACGCAGGGGCAGAAGCTCCCGAAGCTCTGGCAGAAGTAAAATTGAATTAAAAGTCCTTTAAAAACGTATTCAGTACAAAAATATAATTAAAATACGTCACAAAACAATGAAAGAAAATTGTGGAAGCCTATTTCCGACCAATAAGAAAAAAATGTGCTCTTGTAAATCATAATAATGGCATAAAGGTCGATTTTTTTTTATTCTAAATCATATTTATGAGATTAAAAGTTGGAATTATGACCTTAAAAGTCATAATTGTAACATACTAATTATGAGTTAAAAATACTTAGTAGATTCAAATAAAAACAATGACACTAAATCGAAATTATGACAGCCTACTAAATCATAACATAAAAAGTCGAAATCATGAAATGAACATGACTTTTTAATCTCATATTTATGACTTTATTATGTGGTAATTTCGACGTTTTATGTCATAAAGCAGATTGGTCCCTAAACATTTTTTATTTATTTATTTTTTATTATTTTTTTGAATTTCAAGAATTACAATTTCAGTCAGGGGTACGTCCCTAAACATAAATGACTAAATCTGACCAATCAGAGACGTCCTTCCTCTATGAGGATACAGTTTCTTTCCACCGAATTATTTTCCGTTGACCTCGAAGCGCGTGTCCGTCGTGTGACTGGTGACCAAAGAGTAAATGTGATTACTGATTTTAAGTCTTTATGTTCAAAGGATTGAGTGATTACACTTTATAATATAAACTGTATATCAAAACGTTATTAATTGTCAAATTAACGATTTCGGTTATGTAACGGAACAACGTTCATGCAGTACAAAAACTGCCCAGCAGAGGGAGACACCGTCCATCTCAACTGGAGATCTCGCTCAGTCTCATCTCACAAAATAATAACCTCTTCCACTATCCTTATATTCGAATATAGATTTATATTTGATATACTTCCCCTAACCAATTCATCTAAACTCAGTCAGCATGACATCGAGGATGTTAAATTGCGAGCGGATTCTTGATATCTCGAACGGGTTTGCCCGCAGCGTTGAAACGAGAAGTTACCCATTAAATATAACTTCTCGTTTACTAATGTTATCTATTTAACTTCTGCATATATTGATTTTGTTTAAGCGTTCTTTCTTTTTTATTGAACAATATAATTAACAACCATAACTGACCTGGTACAAGTACAACATTTGGATATGTATTTATTTAGAGACGATCAAAAACAACTTTCTGTCACAATTTAGATTTTTATTTTTTGTTTAACATGTTCTGGATCATCATTTCATCTCTCTCCCTGTGTGTGTGTGTTACACTTTTGATGGTTTAGACTTGAGTTTATCCCTTTCAAATTAATACATTTTATCATATACAAATTATGAAAACATAATATACATATTTAGGTTTCTTTTTACTCTCATTATGTGTTAACAACACAGACAAAAGATATAATTATCAAAGATATATTTATTAAAAATAACCGTAAATTGTATAAAAAATAAATCACTGACACGACTGGCTTATTTTCAACCTTTAATAGACATTAATTACATGATATACAGTGTTTCATTGAAACAAGAGCGTATCATTCGCAGGAATGGCCTCTTGTACATGAGGAGCGCTTCACCCCTCTCGGCTTCGACTACAGCATTTAGTAGTGATGTAAAAGGTACGTGAGTGTGTGTAAGTGTGAGTGTGTGTGTGTGTGTCGGGGCCGACAACAAGCCGAATCTTGAGCTCGGTTTGACATTCACAGCCAGATGAAGAGGGCCCCGACACACACCGAGGGACATCTAAAGCCATTTTCATATTTCACACTTGTTGAGCAAAATTTTAACAAAAGAAGAAGGAAAAAAAAAATTGAAAGCATATATACAGTTAATTTTTTTGGTATATACACATATATACAATATATATATAAATATAGTAAAACAGATAAAATTACACTGATGTTTTATCCATAAATAACGGCTAGAGAGTATCAGGTTGGATGACACATGAGGTTTGAATAGTTGGAAGCACGGTGAGGTGTGTGTGTGTGTGTGTGAGACATATCAGATCATCACACTAATAACGGCTGATCAGTGGACGACACACGCTCCCCGTCTGTCTGTCTCTCGTTCAAGCTGCCGATGGCAAACACTGAAATGGCAAGTCAAGTTACAAACGAACGGCCTCATTTCCCCTCGCCAACCACCTTCAGACATTCGATTCTGTGTTTAGTCGCTTTAAAGTCAACGTGAAACACTTTAGCGGCTCATTCTACGTCTGTTATGTGCCCTAAAACAGGACATTCAACTTTATTATTGGCTATTATTGTCGTAACCTTCAGATTATTAAAAAAGTGTTTAGAATATCCCACTAAAGTCTAAAACAGTGGTTAAATAGTTATTCGACTATCGCAAACATCATTTTGATGTGACGTCAGTTGAACAGTGATTTCAGAGAACGTGCGATGATGAATAGTTGACCGTTACACTGCAAAAAATATATATTTTAATCAGTATTTTTGTCTTGAGAACGTTTCGATAAACATTTAGCGGAGAAGCAAAACGACACGATTTTCCATGGCTTTATGTAATGGAAAATATGTCAAAATGAAGTGAGTTTGTGCTTAAAACAAGAACAAATATCACCCAGAAGGGTCAGAAAAGAATTATTTTTCTGACCTCACTGGCAGATATTGATGCAAATCAATCATTTTCAGTAAACAAGAGACTATCTGAAGCTCTGAATATCAGTAAATGCGTCTTGATCTAAGAACGTTGAGATGTTTGTACTGTAAAACAAGACAGAAACACTGAGGAAGAGCGTCGCGTTTCGCAGTGTAGATCGTGTAGTTTCACCCTTCGCTGTCGTCTGGGTTTAAATAAGTTACGGTAAATCCATACAGCCGTTCCACAACCACCTAGCGATCAATAATTGTTCATGAGTAGATCTACACGACAGGTAAAGGTGACTCAAGTGTTACAGTATCAATGGCATCGTGACAAATGCGTTTAAAGCAAAAACAACAGTTTAAGTGCTTTTCCACATACAAACACCGATATTTTTGGCAAAGGTACAAACGGACGTCGAACACAACACGCGTCTCCGTTCGCTGACTGGTTTTGGTTTGCGAGTACTAAACCTGACGTACCGCAGAAACTTAACACAATAGGAAATGCAAATCGACAAAAAAACGGAAAAAGAAGCGCAACAATACGAGTGGATCACCATCTGTGTGGCCTAACAGGATACTGTACAAAGTTCAGGACATTCTCTCAGAATGGGATGTTTGTGTTTTGCTCTGCGCTGATATTAGAGCAGCTTCTTCTAGTTCTCAGTTGCAGGTCAGCGGAGAGGCCCCGCCCCTTCTGCATGTCAATTAGCGTTAGGACACGCCCACTAGTGGCCGTCGGCGTGGTCGTCTGAAGAGCCTGCGTTGTGGATCCAGTCCAGGACGATCAAAGTCATGCTGCAGATCATCACCACGACTCCCATGATGAGGAACAGCAACGCCTGGATGAGAAAGCGGTACCTTTCAGTATCGGAAATCTACGCTAAACACTCACGCATATTAAATATATTGCATTTTTTTTTGCTTGTGTGTGTTTATTGCCTCTTGTGTTGATGTAAAGCACACTGGTCAACTGGTGTTGTGCTATAGACGTTGACATGAGACACACACACACACACACAAGTCTCTTACCCCGATCTTCTGCACTGATCTCATGGACTCCTTCTCCACCAGTCGGATGTAGAAGGCTGAAGGGAGGATGAAGATCAGCATCGCCGCAGCGGACGCCCCTGCAGACACACACAACATCATTTAATAACTCATTTTAGATAGTTGACAAGGCAACGTTTATAACTTTTAAGTTGAAGCACTAAAATGAAGTTGTATTTTAAGTTGAGGTACTACTGAGTAAACTTATTTCAGATAGTTGGCACTCAGTTTTGTACTAAAATGGAAATAAAAATGTATTTAAAAAGTTAAACATTAAAAGAAACTAAAAGTTTACCTATTTCAGAATTTCATATTTAATTCAAATCGTATCAAAGTCAAAACTTTTACACACAATGGGTCTCATTCATGAAACATTCGTAGAAATATGAGAGTGATTTGCGAAACGAAAGAGACCCGTCTCCTGATTCGCAAATGCATCGTAAACGTCAGATGTGATAGTGAAATGTGTGTGTGTGTGTTAATGAATTCCCAACCAGTCGTAAATGGGATGCTCAATTACCATAAATCCCGCCCATTATATCCGTCTGACGTCTATATGCATATAATAACATGAATGCGAATGAAAAAGAAAGATTTCTCGGATGCAGAAATTGAAGTTCATTCGAAACGCCACATTTTATTTTCAAGCGTACATAGTGGCCTTTCAGGTCCTAAAAAAAGGAAGCAGATGCAGTTAATGGAGTTTCTTCTGTCAATCAAACAGTCCCAAAAGTGAGAGGAAAATGGTTCGACCAAAAACGAATTAGTTCACTTCGGAAAAATCGTATTCAAACTGGAGAAGGATCAGCAGATCTGCTATTACTGGCTCTCATAATAGAAGTAAAAAGAAAAACCGTATGTAATTACTATATAAAATATTTTTTCGAAAATGCTGTTTAAATATGTACCCGATAAAGGTGAAATGCAGTCTTATTAATGAGCAAAGCGCTCGGATGTCGGGCTGGGAGCAGGTGTAGATTTCTTGCGTACCAGCTAACATTCGGAAAATACGAACATTTTAATGAATCCGAAAATTTACGCCAGAACACGATTTACACACAAATTTGTTCTGCTTGTGTTTCCTGAATGAGACCCAATGTGTTTGTGTGTGCAACAAAGGGACTAAAACTTATACAAAAATATAATGATACAAAAATGACACATGACATCCGGTGGTCCTTACCGATGAAGCCGAAGATGTCCCTGATGGTGGGCACGAAGATGACGAGGATGTTGACGCACACGAGCAGGCCGACGGTGATGCCGATGTGGCGAGGCCAGCTGAAGTCTTTGGAGGCTCCGAGCAGCTGGTTGACTGAGGTGCGGATCTGAAGCAGAGAACACACCTTACGTCAGCACGTGTGTGTGTGTGTGTGTGTGTCAGGACCTGTGAATGTGTGGGATACTCACTGGGAAGAGAACCACGGGCACGGTGAGCGTCACGGCGGTCAGGACGGCGAAGCGCACGATCAGAAGCACCACGTCGAAACTGTAGACCTTTGAGTAAGTGTGCAGAAGCTCGGGTTCGACGGCCTCTGTCAGACACAAAACACATCATCTCTGTTTTAGGATTAGATTTACAGGTCTTGTTTCGGTCATTTTGTTGTGTTTTGGGCCTTGTTTTGTCAATTAATTTTAAACTGCAAATAAAAAATAAAAGCTCTAAATGAAATTGAGAAATTAGGCACCTAACTGAAATAAAAGAAGCTTTTTTATATTTTCCATTTTCATTTTAGTTGGTAAAACTAATTAAAACTAATTTCTTTAGTTATTTTTTTTTAAATGATGTATATTAATTTTTAATCAGTTTTACTTTGAGACATTTTAAAGTTCTAAAACAAAACATAAATAAAGTAACCAAATGTTTTTGTTTAAATTTAATTTACTTTTTAAAATATAATTTTATTTGTATAATTTTGAGCCTTTTTTAAATATATTTGTATTAATTTTAATTATTTTTTTTTTTACAAATAAAAGCTTTAATAAATGATTTAATTTGAGTAATTTTGTGGTGTATTTGGTTTTAGATTTTGATTTGTTTTAAAAATATACAAGTTTGAGTAATTTTAGCAAGTTCTAAAATAGAAAATAAATAAAAGCACTAAATGTTGGTTTGGAAACTAGCTGAACTTGTGTCAACATTATGTCAGATTTGTGCAGAACATCAAACAAATGTTTATTTTCCCTCGGCTGCGTCTGAGAAATCCCTCCGTTGCGTAACACTTCCAGCTGAACGTCTCTCACTCGAGAGGTCAACGCTGGCCTTTTGCCGGATCAATCCCAAGCCATGTAATGAACACACCTCTGTTTAAAGCAAACATCCTCACTGTACACCTCAACCCAGTGTGGACTAGCTAGCTAATGTGTCGTAACGTGTGTGTCGGGCTCTGATGTGTCCTGCTCACCGTTGAAGGTCAGGTATCCGAACAGTGCCGCCAACAGATACATGATAAACATTCCCAGGAACGACACGTTTGCAACATTCTGCATCTTCTTTCGGGAGCGACTGCAGAAGGAAAGTTCGAGAAAGTGTTAGTTTGTTCCATGATTCATTCTCCATTACTATAACTCACAAAAAGCAACTTCTAGCTTTATTAAAGAGCACCTATTGTGCGGTTTTCCATCTTCATTTCTCTTTAGTGTGTAATGTTGCTGTTTGAGCATGATTCTCTATATATAACAGTGTTTCTGAACAAACACGTCACACTATTTCTCATTATAATAATTAATGCGCAGGATAAATGGGCGGGGCCTGGTTGAGTGAGTTAGTAGTGTGTTAAACTGGCGGTTATGGAAAGGGGCGGGACATAATAATAATAATCAATCAGAGCACAGTGTGCTTTCAGAAGGAGGGGCTTCATAGAGACAGGAAGTAAACAGAGCGTTACTGAGAAGAGAGGAGCCGCAACAATGGAGAATATGAGGAAAAACCTGTTCTAGTGGAGCACGAAAACAACATCAAGAATATTATATATTATATATATTTAAGTGTAAATGTTACTCACTCTTTGAGCTCATCGTACATGGGCAGGATAGCCGGGTGGCACACAAACGCAAACGTCAAAATGGGCACCGCATACACAGTCTAAGACAAAACAATAAAGTCAGATCCCCACACACTCAAATGCAAATATCCGAATGCAAATATCCACGCCGTACCTGTGAGTTAAAGACGAAGTACTTGGGTTTGCAGCACTCTTCTTCCTCTTCAGTGGCGTTGACCTGTGGCTGAGTGGCGTTCACTGTGATGTTAATGAAGTTCTCAGGTAGTGGACACGGGATCTGGAACTTCTTGTAGATCACCTGAAGAACAAAAGCGGGAAGGAACGTCTCATCAGACTAACAATGCTCTGATCTGCATGTGTTCATTAGCATTTTACGATGAATATCGCAGTACTCACCACAATGACGAAGAACACCATGCACAACAAGGAAAAACCACTAGTGTAGCCAAGATAACCTGAGGATCAGCACAAAACACACACATTTACTCACAGTCAAATATATTATATATCATTGTCCTATTTAATTTTAGGTGACTTTATATTATATTTAGGGCTGTGCAAAAATTAAAATCCAAAATAAAAGTCTCTGTTTACATAATATATTTGTGTGTGCTGTATATAATTATTTTGTATAAATAAATACCTATGCATGCATGTATACATTAAATTCTGTATATATATATATATAAAAATACATAATCTATATTAAATAAATATAAATATTTTATATATGAATAACACATTTTCTTAAATATATACACATGCATGTGTGTGTATTTATATATAAAAAAATAATTATATACAGCAACCACAAATATATACTTTTATTTTGGATGCGATTAATCGCGATTCATTTTTGCACAGCCCTAATTATATTATATTATACATTCAAGTACAATAATAACTACACGTAATTACAAGGTTAGCTTGCATGTAATTATGCACAAAGTATATAGCAAGAATTTTAGACTGTATATCAAAGTAAGCGTGTTTCTAACATCTAACCTTATTAAACACGCTTACACTTTAAAACACCTAAAACGTGCTAAAACGATCATTTCTGTGTTTATGAATGTTGCAGGCCTATATCCCTGTTGAGTGTAAACATAACAAATATGGGAAATGAAACTACTAGACAGATGTCTAGGTTTGAAAACTTTCGATTAGGGTTAGGACAATGATGGACAGTATCATGTCAGTTTTGCCATGCGCCTATTCTATAAAAACTGTTGCATCTGTGTTTGTGCAAAATACAACCCATGAGTTTCACCGTTACTTACCGAGGTTTTTAAGCAGCGAGAGAGGCAGTATGATGCTGACGGTGACTATCAGCACCAGGTAATCTCCATTAGTGTACCACGCGCTGCAAAACACATTACAAAAGATAGATATCAGTGTTGAGGATGTAACACGCAGCTGTTCTGCAACATCCTGTCTCAAAAACACCTTCTGTGAGCCGTGTTTGCGGTGTTTCAGTTCTGTTCTGTTTTTGTTTGCAGGGGCCTTTTGGATCCACGTAGGGGTCTGAATCTTAAATGTCAGTGTTTGTTGTATTAGGTCACTGTCACAAAGCTCTCAATCGACGTCTTTGAACAGACGTTCAGTCCCCCCCGGCCGGACAGCTGTACAATGAAGCGCTCACACTGTTCTGAGCAGAACATTCCAGTGCAACAACAACAACAACATCATCAGCCTTTGAAATCTTACTTGTCATTGGTGTCTAAGAAGGCCTTAATGACGATGGGCAGCTCGTACTTCACGATGTAGAGGTAGCTCGCCATGGCTGGGATTTAAACAGAGTTTGAAAACACTTAAAACCTAAACCAAACTCAGTGTTATCTGCATGTTTACACTATCGGACATACCTCCAAAGTTCTGCATGGTGATTGAGCAGGACGCTGCCAGTTTTCCTGGAATCCCGAAGGCTTTGTACCCCAGCTGTTCGTACACCAGAGAACCTGGACGGAGGGAGTCATGGAGTTAAAACCCACACTTATCGCAGGTAAAAATAGAAACATGCTCACAGTATATCACAGAGAGACGCTAACCTCCTTCATTGGCCGTTTTGAGCAGCAAATGGACTGAGTACAGGGAGAAAATGGCCACGGCGACCAGCAGGATCCTACACAAATGAACAAGAAAACATAGAACAAGTTGAAGTCTCTTCTCTGAAACGAGCAGAATTTAACTGCAATTGATTAGAAGGGTTTTATTTTCATCAAAGATAGGAAAAAACAAACGCAGAAAGACCTGGAATATCCCAGCTAACAGAAAACATTCTTCCATTAGCGTTTATTCAGAAGTTATCTGGCCTTTTATAATGTAGGGTTGGGTATCGTTTGAATTTGAACGATTCTCGATTCCGATTCTTTTAAGAGGCAGGGTCAAAAAAAGTTTAGCTAACCTTGCTAACCAACGGCCTTTCTGAAGGAAATAATCCTTCTGTAAAAATACTCCTTTTGTCACAAATTTTGCATTTTGCCGAGATTTCGTTATTTTTAGAAAAGTGAAGCCACACTTTGGATCGCTTCTTCGTTGGTGTTGTTCAGCGGTTTCTTCTTCCGCTCGGCGGACTGTGAATATCGAAACTAGGAATCGAAATTTTAACTTTTGAACGATTTCGGGAAAAACGAAAAGTTAGTCTCGGTTCCAATCGATACTCGATTCTCGATACCCAACCCTAGTTCTCAAAACGTTAGCACAAAGCAAAACATGATACATATGGAATATTCTTTTTCTGACACGTTTTAGTACATCTAAAGTTTTTTTTTAAATGTTACTTGTTTTCGGAATGTTCAGAGATTCCTATAATGTTTGAAAAATGATCAAATGGAGTGTTCAATTTATCATTTAAAAAACATTTTGAACTTAGTGGGAATGTTAGCGAAACGCTGTTTTTTGTTAGCTAGGATGCATTAAGAAAACCAGAGAACGATTTGTCTATGTAGACAAGATGGCCCCCACTCAAACCTAACGCTTGCTCGCCCGACAACATAATGGACTCTCTGTAATGCGTCACTTTACAAACACACACCCACACAAACGCGTGTTCATAACAGAGGGAGGTGACTATGGATTAGACCTGATTATATTCTCACACACTCACTCATTCCACTGTCTGCAGCTCCACTGATCCCATTATAACCTGTGTGACCTTCAGTAGATTTCCACTTCACGTGCAGCTCATCTTTACTATTTAGCCCCGTCTTTAACCCTTTCCCTCCAAACATTTATTTCAATGCGTTTCCTGGTTTAAAATCATTGGGATTATATTGTCCACCCTGATTTATCGGTCACTGGAAATCCCATTTCGGTTAACCAAGAAATCATTCTTTGATGGATGATTTGGCGTCCAGACTCCACTTGCATCCATCACTTTTATATAACCAGTGGAAACTCACACATGGCTTTGTTTATAAACACTAAGAAGAAGCACGACGTCCATTTACTTCATTGATCAGAGCCGAACCTACTCTACAGTAGATTTACACCAAGCAGAATCTGGAGCAAATTACTGGACTCATTTACTAATTATGCTTATCAGGTCATGGGGATAATTATGCACATACTTTCAGCTAACAAAAATACACAGTTTCTTGTTTAACTCTTTAAAACCGAACTAGAAAAGCGGGTTTGGTATCAGCTCATGCAAATGCGCGTGTAAATGTTTAAAACTGACGTAGCAGTTCGTATGAGGTGAAACAGATCCCGCTCATGCAGAAGAACCTCAATACTCACACAAACATGATGATACCAGTATTAGCCATGGCATACGCAAGTCCCAGTATTCCACTTCCCATGATGGCATTGCCCAAGTTAAACACCGACATCCCGAAAGACGCCGAGCCATGGCTCTGAAAAACAAGAACAGCGAGATTTATAATGCGATGTTTAAGTGCAATTTCTGAGAAAACCTCTTAGGCCGAATGAACCACTTACATATTCAGCTTCATATTTCTTCTTGCCCAAGTGATCAGACAGGAAGTTCTGACTTTCAGCATCCACGTCGCTATATTGTATTCTGTAATCAAATCAGCGCATCAGAAAATGCTTTATTGAGCCATATAGTGACTTGTCTAGGTCAAATGATGCAGGTTTTACCCATTGAAGGGGAGTTTGGTGGGACAGTCTTGATAATTTGTGTACTCGCTGTTGGAACTATTGCTGTCCATGTCTGGAGCGATGTTAAAACGACTCATCTTTGGATTTGCAGGGTCTTTGTTCATCCTGTAATAAAAAAAACAGTGAAATATAGCCTCCTTATTTTAAAAGGATTTATGTTTCTCTTGAACATTGTGGTGATCAGAGTAAGGGATCCAACCCATGAGGCTTTAAATTATGTGTTTTGTGTGAGAAATTCTCATGCTACTGCTTTTGACTGTGACTGATATTGTATACCAACATTCACACTTATACGAGTAGTTGGTTGGTGATTTTATAATATAAAGTCAACTTAAATATTAGAAAAGCACTCAATACACAATATTACAGAAACACCTTTACAATGGTGTTCACGGGAAAACTTGGGTCCCCAGAAATCTTTGAACGATTATCAATGCGCGCTCCAGCGTTCAGCAAAATGCGCGTTCCCTCGCACTCGCAGAGCTCAGGTCACGTGACCAACCAGAGCCGAGTGGAAAATTACAAACCGGCACAACAGATCAGCACGCGCTGCGACCGCCGCATCGTCATCAACTATTTATACCGACGTGTGATAAGTCTATATTTATAGTCTGAACAAAATGTTTAAACACCACAATTACGGTATTTATTCTTGTCGGGTGACTGGTTTAACGTATTTACATTGATTCTGGTGACCATTTTAGACCTTCAAACGTAAACTAAAATGTTGAATTTTCATTTAAACTCCCAAATCCTTTAAATTCGTAACTTATATACGATCAAATAATCATAATAATGCAAGTATGACAAAAATGATGGAGATGCTCAGAGTCTGAAGCAGACGCCCCCGCGTTTAACCATCACCGCTCAAATTTAGCTAACATCACCAAGAAAAAAAACCACAATAAATAATGTAACGTTAGCTAATTTAATATTGCCGTTGACAGAGTTTTCCAAAATATTAATGTTTAAGGTTCTTAGAGTTGCACAAGGCGTAGCACTAGGCGTGTTTAATGAATGAATGAGTTCCTTTTAAACTGATGTGTAGGAAAAAAAAGATGATGAAACACGAATGAGTCAAACCTGAACTGCTCTTTTGCAACAAGACAAACCACACCAAAATGAATTAAAAACGATTAAAAAAGAGAACAGTGTCATCTGGATAAATAAAATGAATAAATTAAATAAAAGGTTGTCGAACCGGTATGAAATCTTACCTCAAGAATTAAAGAAGAAAATCCGTTTCTTCAGCTCCGATATGAATGGGGAGGAAAAAAGAGCAAACACTCCCAGACGTAACGTTAAAGAATTTTCCAGTGATCAATTACAGAACCGATAACAATTGATCCTTCAGGAATGTTCCGTAATATATAACCAATAAATATGAGTAAATTAATAATAAATATAAACACTGTACTTATAAACCCTACAATTTGTACTACTACTATTAGTGTAGAAGATAAACGGAGATGTCCTCTGGGCGCGTCCGGTATAATGTCGTGTTCAGATGCTGCTGAATGACGGTTTATATTCCACTGCCGGTCGCATTGCATCAGCCTTGGGAATGGGCGGGGCGTGTATTGTATACAAACACTGAATAAGCCTTCCAGCCGGAGTCTTTCCATTCCTCAGGAAGGCTTTCAACATCATACAATTCACTGAATTAAATCGTTAATATCACAATTGTTTCTCCTAGACAGCAATGAGAGAAAATGTAGTTTCTCCTGATTAACAATAACCGTTCAAAAACGGCGTTTTCTCACTCACAACGAGGCCAAAGTACCTTTGAGTGAAAAGTTCTTAAAATAACCATTTTCTTATTGTGCAGAACATAAAAAATAATGAAAGAAAATTTTTCCACTATATAGAAATATTCAATGGATGTTAAAGGTTCTTTATGAAACCATCAAATGCCAATAAAGAACCCTTCAGTGATCTCACAGTACCGAATAACTCAATATCACCTCTGGTGATACAGTACAGAGGAAAATTTTGATGATTATGGCTCACAGCTTATGAAAACCCCAATTTTGAAAAGGTAAGCCATAATCATCAAAATTATAACCAATAAAGGCTTGAAATGTCACTCTGCATGTCTATAGTTTCACCCTTTAAATTGAATTACTGAAACGGCATGATATTTTAATTTTTCGAGTTTCACCTGTAAAAGACGCTCCTTTTAATGTAATTTCTGTCTACAAAGAAACTTTCCAAAGGGAGTGAATAAGATCATGAAACCACGAATGCCGAAGAGGAATTTTCCCAAAAGAGGAACCTCTGAGATAACGTGACACAATGACAGATTAAACAAGTCGGGAATGATTGGCCCCCCGCACTGGGTCACTGCAGACAAGGCCAACGAGTTGAGTTTGTTGTTTCACTCTCAGCACAACTCAAACGAATCACTCGCCTGACCACCTTCGCACAGAAGTTGTTCGTCACCCTCCCCCGATCGGCCAAATCCCCCAGTGGAAGTGGAGCAGGGCCGTACGGGACTCCGACCTACAGTGATTTACTCTCGGATTAAAGGCCACTGCGGTCTCTGAGCTCGAGTTCACAAAAGAACACGGATGCTGGAATGTCGGACCCATTGAAACGGGCCGTGGGCCCCAGGCGACGCCCCGACTCCATAGGTAAGACTGGATCAACAAAAGCATTTTTCAGTCTCCACACTGTGTGAAAAACGGGCGGAAGAAATCCCAGCTCTGCTTTTGAAGCGATAGCATCCATTGAGAAATGGCACAAAATGCTGGGTCGCTTCAACCCAACTTTGGGTCAAATATGGACAAAACGTTGGATTAAAAATGCAATTTAAAGATGTTTGTCCATTTGACCCAAAGTTGCATTTTTTTATAGGTGTATATAGTACAAAATAGAAGTACGTTTCAAAAGCGTTTTCAATGTGAATCCATTTGAATAATCTGGATTTTGGAATGAAAGGTTTCTGAAATAAGGTCTAAAAATCTTGATTGAACGAATGCTTTCGTTGACCATTATCAGTTATAATGCAAAATCAAATGTGAGCCATTTTATCAAGTAAACGAGTTTGCTTCAGCAGTCAAATTTTATAGTGTTTGTTCACTGCAGAACAGATTTACAATTAATTCAGACAGCTTTTCAATGTGAATCCACTGGTATAATCTGGATGGTTTCTGAAATGTGGCCTAAAAGTGGCCACGTTTTACGTAAAGAAGAAGAAAACTTTGCGAGCCATTTTATCAAGTCAGAACCGTGTTTAAGTTCAAAGATACACAAGTTTGCATCTGCAGTCAAATTTTATAGTGTTTGTACACTGCAGAAAAATTCAACAAATTTTAATTTATTCATTCAGATAATAATACCAATTCATTGTGAATCCATTGGAATTATCTGCATTTCTGAAAGAGTTCAAGGCCCTCATTGAAGAAATGCTTTTAAACCCTTTTTAACATAACCTCAAACGATCATTTACTCACCGACACATTTTTGGTTTGAAACTACATGAGGAGTTTTATTTTATGAAACTTTTTTTTATTTTTTAAGGGAAATTAAACGTAACCAAAACGTTCCCTTGCATTTTTCCAGTAGAACTTGAGATGGGCAGCAATGTTTTTTCTTCAGGAAATCAGTTTCTCTCTGATAACCTCCCATGGACACTGTTCTTGGCCGTGTTTTTCTTCTGCTAGACCGGCGTTATCATGTGTCGTGATATCTTAATTCGGTGTCACCTGTTGGAGGTTTACACAGTTTACCATCACACCGATCTTTGCAGGACGTCCCGTCCCATGGAGAGGTAAAGTGGTGCTAAATTTCTTGCTTTGGTAAACTATCTGCCTGACTGTGGACTAGAGTCACAAGTATATAGAAATCCTTTTGCGAAACCCTTTTCCAGCCCTCTGAACTGGTTCACCTCTTCTCCCGAGCTGAAAAAAGCAGGTAACTGAAGTGTTTAGTGTGTGAAAGGGCAAACTAAACCCATGGGTTTTTCTGAGCTGCAGATGTAAATTAAACATCTTGTTCTGGAAATACTTGAGGGAGGTACTGCGTTTACCCATTCGTTCAGGTATAGGCTTTTGGTTTCTTTCTCTTATAAGACTTTTATTAGACTACTTTTTACTATCCTTTCAAATCAGAGTTTACAAGTGACACTCAAAAAAGGATTCGTTAAAGGAGTCCATGTCTTTCTTTCTTCAGTCGAAAAGAAATGAAGGTTTTTAATGAAAACATTCCAGGATTTTTCTCCATATAATGGACTTCAATGGGGTCCAAACGGTTCAAGGTCCAAAAGACAGTTTCAGTGCAAACTACAAACTGTTCAAAGGGCTTTAAACGACACCAGACGATGAATAAGGGTTTTATCAAGTGAAACGATCGCTCATTTAATAAATAAATAACAAAGTTTAAGTTTTATAAGCTCAAATACTCGCCTTGCTCTGTTCTCGTGACTCTCCTGTTCAAACTCGTTCATCAAAATGAACGAATCTTTTTCCGAGTCATTTGGTTCATTCAACGAACGAATTGACTCGAAAAAGATTCGTTCATTTTGATGAACGAGTTTGAACAGGAGAGTCACACAGAACAGAGCAAGGCGAGTATTTGAGCTTATAAAACGTAAACTTTGTTATTTATTTATTAAATGAACGATCGTTTCGCTTGATAAGACCCTTATTCATCGTCTGGTGTCGTTTAAAGCCCTTTGAACAGTTTGCACTGAAACTGTCTTTTGGACCTTGAACCGTTTGGTTCCCATTGAAGTCCATTATATGGAGAAAATCCTGGAATGTTTTCATCAAAAACCTTCATTTCTTTTTGACTGAAGAAAGAAAGACGTGGACATCTTGGATGACATGGGGGCGAGTAAATTATCAGCAAGAGTTTTTTTAAAAGTGAACTACTCATTTAAAAGGTGAATCTAGACTCATTACATGCAAAGTGAGATATTTCAAGCCTTGATTTGTTATAATTTTGATGACACCCACCCCAAATTCAAAATTAGAATATTGTGAAAAGGATATTGTGAATAACAAATCAAGGCTTGAAATATCTCATTTTGCATGTAATGAGTCTATATAGTTTCAGTGTTTCTCCTTTTAAGTTGAATTACTGAAACTAATGACGATATTCAAATTTTTCGAGTTTCACCTGTACATCCGGGAATTGTGCAAGCTAATCATTTTTTAGCGTCAGTTTTCAACCTTCATCCTCTGTTGCGCTGGTCTGCGTGACGAATGCTGGAACTTCTTCCAGGTAAAGATCTTAAACTCGACTTCAACGCTGAAATGAAAAGAAAATCAAACCGTAAAAAAGAAAGGTTCTGGAGATTGTCTGTGTATTTCAGAGCACGGGGGTCCGTGAGAGAGAAGACATCCCGCCGGTCCCCTGCTGATCAGGGGAAGAGGTCGGCTCATCTTCCCCCGGCTCCTGGCTCACTCTTATATAATCATTTTATCCCCTCGAATTAAACAAACAGCCGCCCGCTGTCCGCGCTCATGGGAACCTGCCGAGTCTGACACGAAGCTCACGCTAAAATGCTTCGTAATAATAGGCCCCGCTGAGGCCACCAGTGCTGGAAATCTGTCAGATGGATATTATGAAATAATATCAAATCTATTATGTGTGTCTTTTTTTTTGCATGTTCATCTTTCTCTAGGGTGAGCATGAAAAAGTGAGTTCTTCTCTATATCAGTGTTTCTGAACTCCTGAAACGCCTCGAATGTAGTCTTGAGTTTCGTCAGGGAACACGTCACAATATTCCTCATTACAATAATTAATGCGCAGAATAAAGGGGCGGGGCCTGTTTGAGTTAGTTAGTAGTGTGTTAAACTGGTGGTTATGGTAACGGCCGGGACATTTCCCAAACACACTCGACCAATCACAACACACTGCTCCAGCCGACCAATCAGAGCACAGTGTGCTTTCAGAAGGAGGGGCTTCACAGAGACAAACTAAATGGGTGTGTTTCCCAAAAGCATCCCAATCAGTTCAACATTATTCTAACGGACATTCACAAACAGCGTCGCAAAGTTGTGTGTTTGTAACGGCAGGCCTAGATCTCGACCTGCGTTTAGAAGTTTCTTGTTTGCCTGACGTGGACTTAATAAATCCTTATCTTGGGAAAAATAAGCAAGCTGACATTCAGAACGATCTTTCATTTCAAATATGTACAAATTTCTTTCTGTCTTCTATTTTTTCAAAAGAACCGAAGCATCGTTTTTTATGTGCTCTAGTGCGTAAGAACGAGCCTATGATCGAATCCAGAAAAAAAGCTAAATAAAAATTAGTCCTCAGATGCTGTGTCTGAAATTTATACACTCTCAGAAAAAAAGGTACAAAAGCTGTCACTGGGGCTGTACCTTTTCAAAAGGTACACTTTTGTACCCAAAGGCTGCATATTGGTACCTTAGTGGTACATATTAGCACCTAAAATGTACATATTAGCACCTAAAATGTATATATTAGTACCTAAATGTACATATTAGCACCTAAAATTTACATATTAGGACCTAAAATGGACATAATTAGCTCTTGAAATGGACATGTTAG